TGGTAGATAATAGGTGCATACAGATCAGTGTGGTTCATTTATAAAGAAAACCTGCTTGGTATAATAACTTATTGTCTTTAGCAGTTATAAGACACGCGATTTACGCTTTCACACTGTTTCGATTATGAAAAGGAAACAGATTTACAAATAGTAACAAAATTCGATTTTTTCTTCTTGGTTTCGCTGTTTCAGCCTAAGCAGATAAGTATCTTTCAAATCCGAACGAAAACCATAAAACCCGTACCTAAGAGCAAATAATGTACATAAATAGATAATTAATCAAAATCAAAGTACTTCCAATTGATTATAATAGCGGCATTCCCTAGAGCCATTGAATTCCTTATTTAATGCTAAAGCAAACCGTACCTATACCATTGAATTTATAACTATCTGCCTATACCATATCCTCGTTAAGTATATGGTGACATGAAATTAATAACGTTCTTTTTGTTGCAGGTCGCCGCTACTAATTTGTATTTTATTCACCTTAGTTCATAGGATATCTAGTATACATGTAAGTATATTTTTTTACGCTTATAAACGTTTAATTAAACCTTTCCTAACAATCATTAAATAATTAAATATTGAAACCTTTTTTTTTATTAATTCCACGGAAGTTATATTATAGGTATATTAAATTGAAATTTTCTAATAAAAAAAATCATTAGTATTAATTCTGTTAATTATAAATTGTAGTGCCAGTTGTACTTCACAATTGCCTACTATCACAGATTTATAGTATCTTTGAACGGGTAGTTATAAAACAAGGACTGAAATGTCTTCTTGACTTTACTTTCAAATGATGTATAGATAGACATTAATGTTACTTTTTTGTAACATGGTGCCGTCGGCTAGCTGCCTACCACGAAATTTTTAACAAATTTTCTAGGAGAATGGACCGTTTTCCTCTATGCTTAAACACATTAAAATCGTTGCACTTTTAATCCAGATCCTTTGATCGCAAATGAAGCCAAAATCTCAATTTTCATATATATTTTTAAAAAATTCACATTCATCTACAAATCTTTGCAGCAAAAGCAAAGAATTTTACGTCAAATTCAAATACTGAGGTTGAACGAAATTATTTACGGTGGCCACTTTTCAACTAAACCTATCGTCACAGCTTACTTACTAGTAAGTAAGCTGTGCTATCGTTTCCTTGAGTTATAATGAAAATGAACACTATTCCCATTTATAACAATTTGCAATCCTAAAAACAATTTGAACCATGCTGGAGGATTCTCGTTATCTGTCCTCTAACTGAAGAACGTTATATGCAATTTTTTTTTTATTTTTCAAACTGATAAGTAAGTGACAGAATCTTTCAGAGGTTTCCCTAACTTTTTGACTGATACACACGTTTACATATTAAAGATTCTCCCACACTTATTGAAAAGTTGAAATTGAATATTATAAATTACTTCTTTTGTATGTATTCTAACAAGTATCTAGGTGGTTGTCGATACCTCTCAGATCTCCGTAGTATAAATTCTTCTGGAACTGGTCTTCTTGAATCTTCTAATGCTGGTCGCCCTATTTGCTTCCGGGATTGTATAATTATCATTTCGTCCATTCTCTCAGTCTTCTGTTTGTCTTTAATGGTCTCCTGTCGATCGTCTTGGAAAGTCACTCTTTTCTTTGGAGGGACGCTTGTTTTGGCCTCTTCAAGCTGTAACCATTTATCTGATTTAATTTTATTGATAATGTAATCGTCCAAATTTTTTCTCAATGGTTCCGAATTTCAATGTGGGTTTGATGTCCGCATGCCATCGTGTTTGTGCCCTCTGTCTCATACTATAATTTCGACTATTAGGATGAGACATTTTGTTACCAACACTTTCTTGTGGTAGTCGCATCGCATCAAGTTTTATACGGATATCTCTTCCTATGTATAGTTGCGCAGGCGCTGGTGTTTTTCCACATTGTAGGGGGGTTGCTCGATATCTAAAAAGTATTTCTCTAATTCTTACGTGCATCAATAATTTCTCTTCTGCCATAGCTCAGGTTGAAGTTCTTGGCCAATTTGCCATAAATCCCTCAAACATTTAGTTTTGATTTTGTTGATTATTAAATTTTTGTTAAATTCTCTTAATGAATATTGATTTTATTGGTACCACTGGAAAGCATTTTTGAGTAGCTTTCCAACGATGTTTCACAAGTATGGGGTTGCCATTTTGAAGATGGGGAGCTGGGGGGTTAAAGAGGGCTGGGAGGTTGTCACTCATAACGTCATTCTGGTTCGCCCTCGATATCCCCGAAACGGTTTTGCGCGATTTTCGCTATCTTCTTTAATTCGGAAAATATGGCCGACTGCAAGTTTTAAAATTGACAACCTGTAGAATTTGTTTACTGTAAAGATTATTCCGAGGGCTTCTCTATCGAGTTTGCTGTAGTTTTGCTCTGCTTGGATGAGCGATCTTGATACAAAAGCCACAGGTGTTTCTCTTCTTTCGATAATATTTGATAGGACTCCTGCGATACCTGATAAAAGCCGCTTCGCATATCAATGACCATGAAAATGTATAATTCTTTCGAAGTAGCTTCTTGCGTGGATATGTTAGTGTCGATGCGTTTGGTATAAATCTTGAGTAATATGTTACCATTCCTAAGAACTTACGCACATCATCTGCATTTTTCGGATGAGGAACTTTTTCGATGGCTTCCACTTTGTTTTGAAATTTGAAAATTTGATTGTGTCGGACGGTATAGCCTAAATACTGGATTTCTGTTCTGAAAAAATCACATTTATCTTTGTTAAGATGTAGATTATTTGCTTTTAGCCTTTCTAAACATCTTATCAGTCGTTTACCACTCTCCTCTGTAGATGTTGCATATGTAGGTATATAATGATATCGTCAAAGTAGGACATGGTTCCGTTGAGATCTTGCAAAATTCCTTCCAATATTCTATTGAATTCGTTCGAAGCTGTTTTGATCCCAAAGGATAACCTGTTCATTCAGTACGTTCCTCTATGTGTTGATTAATTGTCTGAACTGCTTGGCTATCTTCATCAACTTGGAAATGCACTTCACACCCGATTTTGTCTTTTCTACTTTAATTTCTGACACTTTGTACATTCTTTGCTGTAGGTATATGTAAAGAGTGTTAATTTAAATTGTCAAGAATTTTTGTTTATGATGTAAATTTTCCGATATTTTTCGCAACTTTGTCAGCTTCTGACAACGTTTTAGCTCCCACTTACTCTTCTCATAATTTTTTTACTGCTTCTTCCTATGCCCATTTTCAACCGTGCACCTCGCCAGATTTTTAGTTGGAAAATTTACACGTTTTAAGGTCCGCCTACGCCTTTTGCTTCCAGCACGTCTTCTGACGGCCGGGTTTTCGCTTTGCGGGCAGTAACACGCTACGATAATTGCAGGTAGTTGATTTAACTGCGCTGGCGGCTCGACGCGAATTCGAATATCGCAAAATAAAATCCACCCTACGAGAAATTACAGGTCGTTGACTTAAATTCGTTCGCGACGTAACGATTCTCGCTTACCTACTTACTACTACTTTATGTTTTTTATTGACACCCATTCCGTCATCTCATTACCTAATTTTACACCACGAACCATGCTTGGCGACCATAAATCAACTCAACGTGGAGTAATATCCTGCTGTGCTGTGAATATCACACGACACAGCAGTCTAGATAACGACGGTCGACAATTGCAAAATAAGCAAACTCTTTCCTGTAATCTGAACCAAATCACAAAATCAGGACCGTATTGAGATACCGCTCGTCCACGGAACACAACAACAAAAATTTTAACAAATCCTGTCAAATAACGAGACCACTCAAATATCTCTTGCCACTCCACAAGAAATTCTCCAGGCCCTAAACTGGAAGAAATTGCTGTTTGACTAAACTTTAACTACGAAACTATATACTCGTAATAGAAAATAGCTTGCCCACGCCCATGCGTCCTTTTTACTATATGCTTAAATTCTAATTGAAGGAGGAAATCAGTGGCTCATATGTCAAAAATTTCCATCCTACCTAATTTCCTCCTACCTGTAGAAAATAGACACTTTTTTACGAGGGATTGATCATAAGAGTCGTATTGAAGGCGTTCCAACCCTTCTTAGTAGGTTGATACCAGGGGTGTATATTGTTAAGTAAAAGATGTCCACTTTCCAACCAAAATCGATCCTGTTTTGCGTTTTTTTTTCAAAAACGATTTCCGTTATTCAATCTGTTTCGTTTTCGTGGTGCTACCCTGTATATATCCGACCAGTTGAGCCTGTCCTGCTTTGCAGGAAATATATCTAATCGTACCTATGTATAAAAAAAGTTACCCGCGTTAATAGTATTCCAGACATCGGACAAACACACATTGTACCTATATTCTTCATGCGTTCAACATCAATATACTGATTGATTCAGATGAACCGGGAAGATTGAAAAACCCGATGGCTCTCGCGGCACCTTTTGGCAGTTCAATTTTCACAATCACAAGCGAAACCATGACATATACATACCTACACCTACGGCACCTAGGTATTTAGTTCCTTAATGTATGTAGGTATAAGTGTTTGAGCCATAAATCAAATGCCATATCGAAGACGGATTAAAGGGCAGCTGCCTCCTCCGAAAGAGAAAAATAAATTGTCCGTCTACAACCAGTAAATCTTTTATTTTTTAAGGTATTATTTTAATAAATTTCCCGCGGAGGACACCCGGAGCTTCCGATGCCGCACTTCCGCCCCTACCCACATAATTCTATTAATCCGCTGACTTCGAGTTTGACTCCCCATCTATTAGAAACAAATTCTGATTTGACAACCGTTTTCTTGACTCAAGCTCTTGTTGCAGCACATACGACACCACCGAGATAGGTTCAAACGACAGCAAGGAGCCAACCTATATCTTCCAGGTAGTTATGTAACTAGTGGTGGAGATGGCCCAGACAGAGGTGTATGGACTGACTGGTCAACACCAAGTCAGTGTTCAAGATCATGTGGAGGCGGAGTTTCAACACAAGAAAGAAGGTGTTATCCCGGATATCAGTGCGAAGGACCTTCTAAAAGACATTTTTCGTGCAATACGCAGGTAGGTACGCTATTTCGTTCAATCCTTTTTTGGGAACTGTACGATCACTCTAATTTCAACACAAAGATTAAACTTTACGGCCAAAAAATAAAATGCCATTTTTTCTAATATTATAACATACCGCAGGATTGCCCAGACCTTTCCGACTTTCGAGCTCAGCAATGTGCGGAATACGACCATATCGCATTTGACGGTGTTTACTATCAGTGAGTAATTTCTACTAAGACCAAATTTTAACCATGGTGTGTCTAGTCAACTAACCTTATTAGGTAACAATAATTTGTTTAGTTAAACACGTACCTAGGGCAAATATGATTTAAATGAGTTTTAAGTTTACTTTAAGTCAACACCTTTTCTAGATGGATTCCATACACAAAAGCACCAAATCCTTGCCAGCTGAACTGTATGCCTCGGGGCGAACTATTTTATTATAGGCATAAGGAAGAAGTAACGGACGGAACGCCCTGTACAGACGATAAATATGATGTGTGCGTGGAAGGAATATGTCAAGTATGTTTTGCATATTTTGTTAATACAAAATAATGATTGTGTAACAGCCTGTAGGTTGCGATAGAATGTTGGGATCCAATGAAGTAGAAGATCAATGTCGTATATGTGGCGGCGATGGGAGCATGTGCAACACTATTTCGGACATATCAAATATACAAGATTTGCAAGTTGGTATGCTTTCTAGACTGAGTACAACACTATCAATAATTCTTTCCTTTATTTCAGGATACAACGATATTCTTCTCATACCAGAAGGTGCAACGAATATTCTTGTTCAAGAAGTTGCAGAATCCAACAATTACCTAGGTTTGACGGGTTGAGTTGAGACAATTAAAATAACTTGCCATTTCAGCGGTCAGAGACAGGCATGGAAATTACTATTTAAATGGCAATTGGACCATCGACTTTCCACGCACGCTAGACATTGCGGGCTGCAGATTTGTGTATGATAGGTATCCTAGAGGTTTTATGGCACCGGATAGTCTTAGATGCTTGGGTCCAACAAATGAACCACTGATCATTGTAGTATGTAAATGAATACGTTATTATTGTTACCAAAATGCTTATTGCTTTTCGTTTTTAGCTCTTATTTCAAAACAGCAATGTTGGTATTCAATACCAATACAGTGTTCCTAAAAATGTTCTGATGGGCGATAATGAAACGTATGCGTGGATATTTAGCGAATTTTCTCCTTGTACCACATCATGCGGAGGAGGTAGGCTTTTACACTGATAAATAATATGATCACTAAATTTTCTTGCAGGAGTACAGTATAGAAACATATCTTGCGCGGGCCGGAAATCATTACAACCCGTAGAGGACAGTCTGTGTGATATTAGTAATGAGCCAGAATCGATACAGGAGTGCGCACAGCAACCATGTGAACCTCGGTGGATCACTGAGCCATGGGGAAGATGTTCTGCTAGTTGCGGTAGCATGGGTTTCCAAAACCGGCGAGTGTATTGTGAGCAAACGATACGTGAAGGATATACGGTTATTGTCGATGACAGGTACTGTGTGCAGGAGGATAAACCAGAAAACCAACGACAATGCAATCGCGGTAAAATTTGTGCAACTTGGCACACTACCCCATGGAAACCGGTAAGTGGTTAGCCTTTTGAAGAGCAACTTTAACTTTATTAAGCAATATCTCTTTTACACAAAAATGTATTCTCAAATTATGACCATGAGGAAAGCGGTATGCCGCTACGGGGCCATTGGATTTGCAAAGTTTGTATCGATTTACCAGTTATCGTAATGGTCCGCTTCAAGTTAGCAATAGATTCAACAATAGACATTATTTTAGTGAAGTGCTGAACGAGATGCGCATATTTGTCCAATTCTGAAAAAATAGATGGCCAGGATAATATAAATAGTACAACAAACAAAATTATAAAAAAAGGACTATCGCCGAAAGTTTTCCGAGATCAACAAGCTCCCACTCCAGCACGTTTCTAGACTGTCACCCCTTACGGCGCAAAGGTTGTTCCACTAATTAAAAAAATTCCCCCATCCAATGAATGAGAGCTTGACGACTTTTCCATCTATTCAATAAAATCTCACGCTCTTATTATAGCGCAAAAAACTAGATGCGTAAACAGAACTTTTGCTGTAACCTTAGACAATCGCGTTGTATTTCACGACTCAAAGGGCCCCATTCACATGCGGATATGTACGGCGGATTTGTACGGCGGACAGATCCGTGTTGAGCTACACACAGGCGGACATGGCTGTACACAGATCACGGACAAATCTCAATAGACGAGCAGGCGGCGTTCTGTCGCTATTTCAGTTCTATAGTACTAGCCCTGGGTTGTGTTCTTTTGAGTGCTGTGGTAATTGGTCTGGATCATAAGGAGAAATTTACAATAGGTAATTGGAGGAGGAGGTTTTATTTGAAGATACGAAAAAAAGAGACTATGGTCAAAACAGTGGTTCATGAAACGAAAAAAGTACTCTCATATGACTTTACTTAACGATTTGGAAACGCCTCATGATTTGCACATTTTTTTGCGCATGGACAATGAGAGATTTGAAACTTTATTAAAATATGTTCGCCCAGTTATTGAGAGGAATTATACCCACACATGAGGCAGTTACCAGTAGAGAGCGATTAATTGCCACGCTATAGTACTTAGCAACTTGAAGGAATTTTGAAGACCTAAAATTCAGTTGTGCAATCTCCCCTCAGCTTCTCGGTTAAATTATACCTGAAACTTTCAAATAAGCCTTGGCAGAATATGCTCGGAAATGGCATAAAATAATTTGATTAGTAGTTAGGTGTGCTTGGTTTGTGGAGTAAGGCACTACAATCTTTACCAGTATTTAAATTGTGCCCCAAAGATGCGCATTTTGTTCTGGAATGTTAATATCACCATAGTCTTCAAATTTTACTTTTAAGATATCCCCAAAAGGTAACTGATCGGATTGTATTTGACTAACAATTTCACCAACAGTTCGGTGTTGTTACGCAATTTTGCTTGTAAAATTACCCAAAAGATCATTTAAATCTTTAGCACAATTTGCGCCTGCATTATATTCAAAGTAATTTAAACAAAATATTTTTTTAAATGACTGTTTAATTGGAGTTGGTTGAGTCGCATTTCCATTTTGATTTCTTAAATTTCCAAACATATTTTCAAGAATTACGTATTTGATGATTCTATGTCCGGCAAACAAATCCGTGAAACGACTACACACGTTCGTATTTGTCGGGCTCGCTGTCCGTGCTCGTCGTTCTGATCGACGGATGGCGAGCAAGATATGTACGCCAAACCAAATGGGGTTAAGTGGTAGAGCAGTTCTAGGGTGTCTCACCATAGAACTGAACTTCGCCCCGTTAGATTACGGAACATTAATTTCATTTTTCATTTAATTTTAATTATTTAGTTTATTGTCTATTTGAATGTTTATTTTATGTTTATTTCTTTCTGTACTTCCAGTAATCTAATAAATGTCACATTATTATTATTATTATTATTAAACACGCGGATACACACATACGAATTGATACGGATCTGTCCCGCGTACATGTCCGTCCGTACCATACCCGCATGTGATTGATCAATTTTGTTTAGGAAGTGGCAAGACCCGCTTTTTTACAAAAAAAAAGCCCCACAGCAAGAAAAGCACCGCAAAGTGATATACCGGGTGGTGCCTAGCGCGACGCAGTATAGGGATTTCAATGGTAATTTCTTTATAGCCATTTACTAGCTCCCCTAATTATTTTAGCGCAAAAGTCTAAATACGTTTTTTTTTTTAGAAAAAAATACTGCATCTGTTCATACGATTACTTATAATTTTCCGTTTTTCAAAACCGTAGAAATCCACAAAATAAAAAATTACATTTTTATAAATCAGTGATGCTTTGGAATCTTTTAACAAACTACGAGGGCATCGCATCTAAGTTATCGTTGTTTGACGTCGAACGATTTTCGTATTTAATTCTGTTTCAACTAACCGACGCGACGCAAGAAAAAACGTCTATGGGGTAATGTTTTTTTACAGAATGAAATGCTACTGCATCTGCATCAGATACTATTTGTTTATCATCTTCCGGAACCAAGGTACACCATCGAAGAAAAAAAAATTGATTTGAGGAAGAATTGTTCTTAAACTTATATTCGGATTTTCCGCTACTGCAGCCAAAACGTTGAATGTTGAATCGTTTTGGTTTTGACGAACATTTTGAACGTTATTGCACTTGCAGTGATTTAACACTGTTCCTGTTCTTTGAAACTTGCGCACAATTCTGTCTACCGTGGTACTGCTTGGAATCAGTCGATTGGGGTACTTCACAGTAAATAAAGACGTTACTTGGCGGGCATAAATCCACTTTAACATTTCCTCTTTCTCTTCAGTTAAATACATGATAAACAATTTTATGATTAAATAATTTATAAACAAGTATACATTTAATATACGTCAAAGGCAAATAATGAAAAGTTATCGCTGTTTTTTAGGTAATTCCAAGGCATATCTGATTTATTGTAAAATGAACCTTTTTATTTTGTCGATTTCTACGGTTTTGAAAAACGGAAAATTATGAGTAATAGTATGAACAGATGCAGTATTTTTTTCTCTGAAAAAAACGTATTTAGACTTTTGCTCTAAAATAATTAGGGGAGTAGGTAATTGACTATAAAGAAATTACCATTGAAATCTCTATGCTGCGTCGCGCTAGGCACCACCCTGTATGTACTTACTATTGTTTGCGTTTTATCCGTCCATCTAGACAAACTTTTTGGGGCATTGCATTGCCTTTGAATCCGCAAATGTTTTGCAATAGGAACATGACACATTGAAAATGTGCCAGACAGCCTTCAAGCTTTTATATCGTATGACCATTTACAGCAAAAAATTTAAGCTAGTGGTCCGATCAAAATAGGCGTAAAACACTACACTACTAGAAATAAAGTGCCAAAAGTCCCCATAGATACCATGTGGGCTAAAAAAGTTATTTAAGGTCAAAGGTTAAAGTTTTTTGGATTTTTCTCGACAACTGTAACTGTTATCAAACATATAGCTTAAACAAAAATTGTAGATCATAAAATTATCTACAAAAATAGTTCTTATACTTTTTCTCCTAAGAATCACCATTCCTAAGATATCGCCGTTCTAAGGGTTGAAGGATTTATATTCCACATGATATGCGTACAAATGCACGTATATACACAGTCAGGCACTTATGCCCGTTTGCACCGACAAATTTAAGCGGAGCTTATAGCTTAAGCGTCCCTTAAAATCCATGGCAACGATTATTGAGACAATGTTTGCCACGGATTCTAAGGGACGCTTAAGCTAAGCTCCGCTTAAATTTGTCAGTGCAAAAGTGCATATTTGTGTCTCTTACTCTCTTATGTACTTATGAAATATACAATTCAGAGAATATACACTCAAAAGATATCAGTCCCTTATCCAGTCCTTTCTACCGCATGGCCTTGATCAAAATCTGCTTACTCTATTGTCCGCGTGGAAAACGCTCATAACCTGCTTTTTTCAAGTGACCTTAAGTGAAATACTGTTAGTTTTGAATGTTCCTTTGAAAAGAATACACGTGTTTATTGCTAGCGTCTACTATTAGTGTCTATTACCAATCAAAAAATGTCAAAATTGTGCTTTATTTGCAATAAACTTTTGGCTGAAGGTAAATCTGTTAAGGCCAGGTTATACAGAGCGTTGTCTGCTCTCTCGGGCAGAACGCTGCGTTTGCCGTTCTATATAGTGGCCACACAGAAACCGGTCTAAAGTTGGCGATCTAGTCTATATTTGTCGTTTATCGAACGGGGTTGGTTGTTATCTTTTTTTTTTTCTTAAATTTTGTCACAGTATTTTTTGTGAAGTACATTAAAAAAAATGTCTATCAATTCTTCCGATGAAGAAGAGGTACTTCTTTTGTTTACAGTAACTGAAGTGCACATGGAGCCTCCCGAACGAGAGAAATCAATCTCTCGGTGTAATCAGACATTCTATAACCTGTAAACACAACTCAAAATACCTGTGGGACCGCGCGATTTCTGTAAAATATTACAACCGCTCTCTGTTTCACAGATACAATACAGTTACATATGTAGAATACAAATATCGCAGACCGCGCTCTCTCTGCCAGGGCCCTTAGAGTTATTAGTCGTGGAATGAAAACTTTGATTGATGCAAGTATCGAAAGAGCGGATTTTGTAGCGATGAAGCGGATGCAGATCCTTCATCCAGTAAGAAGAATGGGAAGAAGAAATCTAAGAAGACATGACAGTTGAAGTCGAATTTGAAGAGTACACATCAGATTAAAATATTAACAGAAATCGGAACTACAGTTTAAATCACCTATAGGTATATCAATCTCAAAATCAATAATCATCATGCCGTAAGTACAGTATTTTCCCATAAAAATCTGATATAACAGATCGTGGAACAGGCCTACCGGGGAAACCACGTTAAAAAACGCGCCCAGTATACTACCTCACCGGCGCGGCGGTGTGGAAATGTGTAGAATGTAACTCCTTCAAAGGGCAATATCTTAGGAATGGTGATTCTTAATGAAAAAAATGTAAGGATCATTTTTGTAGATTATTTTATGAGCTACAATTTTTGTCTGAGCTACATGTTTAATAAAACCTACCGTTTTCGAGAAAAATCCACAAAACCGAAAATTTTGACATTTGACCTTGAATAACTTCTTTGGCACAGATGGGACATTTTGTACTTCTACTGGTGTACCCTCTGTGGTACCTCTACCAGAATTCAGCTCTGTCGGAGTTTTTGTTATTTGGAATGTCTATTTTGACCGGACTAGAGGCTTAGCATTAAGTGTAGCTTAAATTCCATAGTAGGTAACAATTGTGGCACAGTACCTAATAAAGGTGCAAAATTTGGTGCACATAAAGCGACTGCTTGTTAGCTACCACATTTTTTACCCAAAACCAGGAACCAAATGTCCTTAGAGTAAACGTTTAAGTCATTAGTTTGAACTACCTACAAGTGCATATAATCTTTATATTATGGTAACATTTCTTATTTGTGGGTCGATTTTCATACTGCGCGGGGTTGGTGGTCATCAAAACTTCAAATGCAAATTTCGCGAAAATGGAGTATCTAACAGTGGTATTCACTATGGGAACGAGGTACCTTTTGATAACACAAAGCGATGCGTACCCACGCCAAATTTTATGACGTAGTCCTTACCTTATCCAAATTACCATGGCAAAACCAATTGGTACAGTCACTGTACTCACACCCAACGTTCGCCATCTCCTCAAAGAATATATTTTGCCGGATAATGGATACTATTTATATGAACTACTTACTTAATTATCACCTATTGAAAATTTTCAGTGCGATCGACTGTGCGGTCAAGGACGGGAAACACGAGAAGTGACATGTTACAGGAAAGTGGACAACAGAATTGAAGTACTTGACGATTACGAATGTGAGCAAGAGGAATCGAAACCGGAAGGACAAAGACCATGCAACTTGCGTCCCTGCGAAGGTCTCGATTGGGTCACGTCCGAGTGGAGCGGTGTAAGGCATTTATTTTTCGCGTCACTTGTTACTTGAGTTTATTACAGTGCGAACATTGCGGAACTGCCACTGAAACACGAAGGGTTGAATGCGCCACACAAGATGGACAACTGTACCCAAGAGAAATGTGCGAGAATATTCCGCTACCGATCACAGAGAGGCAATGTGACGAAAATAGTAAAAAGTGCAGTCAACAGTGGTATGCCACACAGTGGAGTGAGGTAAATATTATATGTTAGCATACAACTTGTGAAGGCACATCCGTACAGGATTTCTATTCTATGAATTGATTCTTCAACATAGATATCTAATTTTGTATGGCGCTTTATAGTTAGAATAGAAATCCTATGGTACAAATGTGGTAATAAAAGTAGTATGTATTTAGTGCTCTGCTAAATGCGGTAATGGTATGCAAACAAGAGAAGTGTTCTGTGCTACAATTAATGGCGAAGGTATTCAAAAGATTGATGATAGTAACTGTGACCCCGATAAGAGATATGATGATACAAAAGAATGTGTAGGAGATCGAGAGACTTGCCCTGGGGAATGGTTCACGGGACCATGGAGTGAAGTAAGTGGACTTATTTTCTATGTAATTCTTACGGTAAAACCCAACCCTAGTGCTCTGCGCCATGCAATGGAGGTCAACAAACCCGTAAAGTAATATGTATGAAGGATAATTTACCCTCAGATCCAGCAGAATGTGATCCAAGTACAATTCCATATCAAACTGAACCATGTAATCCTCAACAATGCACTGAAGACGAAATGAAAACTACTGCTGAACCGGTAACTTACGTAAACGAAACCCTTTCTACTTCACAACCTGATCTCATTATGGATTATGACTATGAGGAAGTATATGATGAAACTTGCGAAAATGGGGAATGGGTAAATGAAGACGATTCTACTCTTCCAAATAATGTAAGTAGGTATAGGTAATGAATCTTTCAAGAAGTTAGGTGTGACTCATGATTATAGGTGCAGCAAAACCAAAAGGCAAGTTTTGTAGATGACTCATTTTACGATTTTGATTCAATGCTTGGAGATGATCCAAACGTGTACGATACGCGGTTAGATGATGAGGGATCAGGTGATGAAGATACTAGTTCAGAATCGTCAACAAGCAGTGAATATACAGATGAAGATTACAGTACTGAAGGGTCTGGGGAAAGCAGTGAAACTACAGACTTTACTGACACGAGCAGCATTTCCACAGTATCATCGAGTTTAAAACCCACACCAGAAGTTATTCCCCCAGTTGGTGAGACTGATATTGGTGCGAAAGATGAGGACGAATTTCCTTTTATATCAACCGAATCTAGTACTTCTGACACCACAGAATTTACATATTCTACTGGAACACCAGTTAGTTCCAGTAGTGAATCAACAATTTCTTCTAGTTCTGAAAGTACCTTTAGTACTGAAAGTACTAGTGAAGTGAGTACTGAAAGTACTAGTGAAGTGAGTACTGAAAGTACTAGTGAAGTGAGTACTGAAACTATAACTACTGAGAGCACTATTAGTGAAGCCACGTTCACGTCTAGCTCTACTAGTGATGAAACTACAGAATCTGATGTGACATTTACTACTCTTTCATCATCGACAGATACTACATCTGATGTCAGTACTGACACTACCAGTGAAGTAACAACTGACTCTTCCCTTAGCACTGAAACCCCATTGAGTAGTAGTACCGAGAGTACATCGGAAATTACAACTGAATCATCAGGACCAACAGAAAGTACATCGGAAGTAACCACGGAATCGCCAGCTAGTACAGAAACTGTTATATCTACTAGTAGTATTTCAACGACTTCAGGTTCTACTGAGAGCACTGAAACTCCTATTAGTACCGTATCAGAGGAGTCTTCAACGACGGTAAGCACCGAAAGTACATCACAGATAAGTACCGAGAGTACAAGTGAATTTACCACAGACTCATCAGTAAGTACTAGTGAAATTACTACAGTCAGCAAAGAAACTACCACTTCCCTTTCATCGTCAACTGGTGAAACTAGTGAAACATCGATGACTGAATCAACTCCCAGCACACAAACTGAAGTATCAGGTACTACAGAAAGCACAGAAAGTACCTCGGAAATTAGTACAATAAGTACAAGTGAAGTTACCACAGTATCGCCACTTAGCACTGAAACAGAAGTAACATCTAGCACTATTTCAGTGCCCAGTGAAAGCACTAGTGCAACAGAAAGTACATCTCAAATAAGTACAGAAAGTACAGTCACTGGAACTACTGAATCTACTCCTTCTGTCGATAGTAGCAGTGAAATTAGTACACAATCGTCATCTAGTATTGCAACTGAAAGCTCTGTGTCCACTACTTTAGGTAGCACAGACAGCACAACGGAAGTTAGCACAGAGGAAACTAGTGAAGTAACTTCTGTTTCTACACCAAGCATAGAAACTGAAGAAACAGCATCCAGTGAAACAGTGACCACAATTGCCACCGAAAGCACTAATGAGATGACGACTGAATCTGGACCTAGCACAGAAACCGAAGAGTCTTCTAGTATAATTTCAACATCTTCAATTGGCACAGAAACGTCATCCGAAGCTACCACTGAAACCGCACTATCATCCAGTACAATTTCATCAACCTCTGGTGCAACTGAAAGTAGTCAGACTTCTGATGGTAGCAGTTTAAGCACTGAATCAACGCAGCTAACAGGCAGCTCAACCTTAGGGTCATCCGAATCAACTAGTCTTAGTACCGCAAGTACAGAAAGCAGCGTATTTACTACTGTTACAGACATATGGTCTTCAATAGAGTCTACCGTCATAACGGAATCCACAAGTGAGTACTTTGATATTTTCATATTGTTGATATATAGTACCTTCCTCAAAAATTATGTAGCCCAAACCACTTAGGTACTACATGTCAATTTGGTACAAACTGCGCGTACCAAATAGAAACTTTCAAAGTAAAAGTGAAATGCAGTGCTTTCATATTTTTCCTTTTAATTTATCGCATATAGAATTCTTTTGTGATCCCATGAGTCTCCATAAAAGCAATTCACTTGTTTTTATATAATACGTAGTCTGATAAAGAGAAATGATTTAATTGTAGGTATGTTTTAGTATATAAGTATGTATTACCTACTATGTATTAAGTTCTTTTCTTCTTCCACTTTCAATCTGACTGCAATTTTCAATCATACCTACTAATCTACTAACTTTTTAGATTACATTTCTTTCTTCCTTGTGATATTCATTATCGTTACCTACATTATCATCAATTCTCGTATATCTGTTCTCCGCTTGCTTCTTCACTTTCTTTCAAACTCTAAATTTCTAAGTCGCTGTATACTGGTTTCTTCAATCTCCCACGTTAATCACAGTTTCTGTTCATAGTGATAAATAAACTTACCTAATTGTGTAGGTTTTGTTTGGTTGTATACAAAAGTCATCTTTATGTGAGTTGTTCAGAGTCCTGCAACTGTCCACCACAATTTTTTCATTACTACTTCGGCAATAGTAGGAGCAGTGTTGCCATTAGGAGCCCCCCAGCACAGGTACTTAACTTTCATTGCTTATTTGTTTTGTACATCACCACCGGCTACTTTAATTAGGTATACTTTCACGGTTTTGTATTTCTAGCATCAGAAACTACGGAATCAGGAAGCACAGAATCATCTACTTTAGAAATGACTTATTCCACTGAAAGTACACCTTCGCCAGGTACTAGTGAATCAACATCAGAAGTTTCCAGTCTTAGCACTATATCAGAAAGTACAATATCTTCAACTTCAGAAATGACCGAAAGCACTCACAGTACAGAATCACCTACAACTATTGAGTCAACTTCAGAAATATCTAGCAGCACCGAAACCACTCAGTCATCCAGTACAATTGAATCGTCTTCTGTAATGTCTAGTAGCACTGAATCAGCAAGTACCATGGAATCGACAACAGAATTAACTATCAGCAGAGGAAGTACGGAATCATCTAGTACTGTTGAGACGTCTTCTGAAATATCTAGTAGCACGGAAAGCACTGTATCATCCAGTACTGTAGAATCAACCTCAGAAATAACAGTCAGTACAGGAAGCACAGAATCCACCAGTACCATTGAATCGTCTACGGAAATATCTAGCAGCACTGAGAGCACAGTTTCATCTAGTACTCTCGAATCAACATCAGAAGGCAGCAGCGAGAGCACAGAATCGTCAAGCACTATTCAATCGAGCTCAGAGATAACTGGAAGCACTGAGAGCACAGAGTCAACCACTGAGATTAGTTTGGGTAGCGAGACTACTGGATCAGTAAGTACTGTAGAGTCGACACCATTGACAAGTAGTACTTCCCAATCAACAGAAACGAGCCCCAGTAGCCAATCAGCGTTCACAATGGAATCTACAGGTACCATTACTTTGTTCTGTTTTCAATGCTTGCATTGCCTACAGAGTTTATTTGTAAGTATGTTGCAATTTTTTGTTGGAAAGTTACATCCAGTAGGAATGAATAACAAACTTAATCTCTATCAAGTCTAAAGTGTGAAGGTAAGTATTTAGTAACGCAGTAATTCATAGTTGGATTTACATTGTAACATCTGAAAAAATTTCACACGTTAAAAGTTTGAGTATGCTTAAAAAGACTAATACAATTCGACTAGATATTATTTGAGAACACAAAAAAAAACAATAATCTAAGAAACATAATGCAAATAATTCTGTATGGAAATGCCCTTAAGTCATTCCATCATTTGCGGTTGCTTCATAATCACATTTCCATACCATCTGCTTATCCCACCGATTAGTGGAGATTAAAGCTATCGTTACTTCTTCAGCCTCTTTGGGTCAAGATGAAGCAAGACAGAGCCCTATATCGACTACTGAAGATGTGCACAGTACAAATATCACAAATATATTTTACAGTCAACCTTATACTATCCCACACATTTCCAGTAATTATCAAACACAAACCACTATCACATCCTCGCCACATTTACCAATGAGCAACAAAACTACTACTAACCATCAACCTCAAAGCATAACAACACAATTGATTGAAACATACGCAACAGACCTACAATTCCCACAAACTGCTTCCCAATTCCCTGTTTTAATCACTACAGAAGTTTTGGTTAATGGCAGAACAATATCTCTGATTCCTATAGAACAGGCTGCATCTGCATTCTCTACTGCATCCCCGCCCCTCCCATTATCATTTCTAGAAACATCCGAATTCTCTACTAAATTTACTGAATCTGCACTTTCATTATCATCAACATCCGAATTCTCAACTGAATCATCTGCATCTCCACTTTCCACCTTATCAGCTGAATCAACATCCAAAATCTCAACTGAATCATCTACATCTGTATCTTCCACATTATCATCTGAATCAACATCCGAAATTTCAACTGAATCTTCTGCCTCTCCACCTTCTACACTATCATCTGAATCAACATCCGAAGTCTCAACTGAATCATCTGCCTCTCCACCTTCCACATTGTCATCTGAATCAACATCCAAATTCTCAACTGAATCTTCTGCCTCTTCACCTTCCACATTATCATCTGAATCAACATCCGAAATCTCAACTGAATCATCTGCATCTCCACCTTCCACATTATCATCTGAATCAACATCCGAAATTTCAACTGAATCTTCTGCCTCTCCACCTTCCACACTATCATCTGAATCAACATCCGAAGTCTCAACTGAATCATCTGCCTCTCCACCTTCCACATTGTCATCTGAATCAACATCCGAATTCTCAACATCCGAATTCTCAACTGAATCTTCTGCCTCTCCACCTTCCACATTATCATCTGAATCAACATCCGAATTCTCAACTGAGTCTTCTGCCTCTCCACCTTTCACTTATCATCTGAATCAACATCTGAATTCTCAACTGAACCTTCCACCTTATCATCGGAATCAACATCAGAATTCTCAACTGAAACATCTGCTCTCCACCTTCCACATTATCATCTGAATCAACATCCGAATTCTCAACTGAGTCTTCTGCCTCTCCACCTTCCACATTATCATCTGAATCAACATCCGAATTCTCAACTGAGTCTTCTGCCTCTCCACCTTTCACCTTATCATCTGAATCAACATCTGAATTCTCAACTGAGCCTTCTGCCTCTCCACCTTCCACCTTATCATCGGAATCAACATCAGAATTCTCAACTGAATCATCTTCTCCACCTTCCACCTTATCATCTGAATCAACATCCGAATTTTCAACTGAATCATCTACATTTCCACCTTCCACATTATCATCTGAATCCACACATTAGAATTCTCAACTGAATCAACTGCATCTCCACCTTCCACCTTATCATCTGAATCAACATCCGAATTCTCAACTGAGCCTTCTGCCTCTCCACCTTCCACCTTATCATCTGAATCAACATCCGAATTCTCAACTGAATCTTCTGCCTATCCACCTTCTACATTATCATCTGAATCAACATCCGAATTCTCAACTGAATCAACTGCATCTCCACCTTACACCTTATCATCTGAATCAACATCCGAATTCTCAACTGAATCATCTGCGTCTCCACCTTCCACATTATCATCTGAATCAACATCCAAATTCTCAACTGAATCATCTACATCTGCATCTTCCACATTATCATCTGAATCAACATCTGAAATCTCAACTGAATCAACTGCATCTCCACCTTCCACCTTATCATCTGAATCAACATCCGAATTTTCAACTGAATCATCTACATCTCCACCTTCCACATTATCATCTGAATCAACATCCGAATTTTCAACTGAATCATCTGCATCTCCACTTTCCACCTTATCATCTCAATCAACATCAGTATTCTCAACTGAATCATGTACATCTCCACCTTCCACATTATCATCTGAATCAACATCCGAATTTTCAACTGAATCATCTACATCTCCACCTTCCACATTATCAGCTGAATCAACATCCGAATTCTCAACTGAATCTTCTGCCTCTCCACCTTCCACGTTATCATCTGAATCAACATCCGAAATTTCAACTGAATCATCTGCCTCTCCTCCTTCCACATTATCATCTGAATCAACATCAGAATTCTCAACTGAATCATCTACCTCTCCACTTTCCACATTATCATCTGAATCAACATCCGAATTCTCAACTGAATCTTCTGCCTCTCCACCTCCCACGTTATCATCTGAATCAACATCCGAAATCTCAACTGAATCATCTGCATCTCCACTTTCCACCTTATCATCTGAATCAACATCCGAAATCTCAACTGAATCAACTGCATCTCCACCTTCCACCTTATCATCTGAATCAACATCTTCTCAACTGAATCATCTTCTCCACCTTCCACTGAATCTTTCTCAACTGAATCATCTGCATCTCCACTTTCCACCTTATCATCTGAATCAACATCAGAATTCTCAACTGAATCATCCGCATCACCACTTTCCACCTTATCATCTGAATCAACATCCGAAATCTCAACTGAATCATCTGCATCTCCACTTTCCACTTTATCATCTGAATCAACATCCGAATTCTCCACTGAGCCTTCTGCCTCTCCACTTTCCACCTTATCATCTGAATCAACATCAGAAATCTCAACTGAACCATCTGCATCTCCACCTTCCACCTTATCATCTGAATCAACATCCGAATTCTCAACTGAATCTTCTGCCTCTCCACCTTCCACATTATCATCTGAATCAACATCCGAAATTTCAACTGAATCATCTGCATCTCCACCTTCCACTTTATCATCTGAATCAACATCTCTGCATCTCCACTTTCCACCTTATCATCTGAATCAACATCAGAATTTTCAACTGAATCACTGCATCTCCACCTTCCACCTTATCATCTGAATCAACATCAGAATTCTCAACTGAATCATCTGCGTCTCCACCTTCCACATTATCATCTGAATCAACATCCAAATTCTCAACTGAATCATCTGCATCTCTCCACATTATCATCTGAATCAACATCTGAAATCTCAACTGAATCAACTGCATCTCCACCTTACATCTTATCATCTGAATCAACATCTGAATTCTCAACTGAGCCTTCTGCCTCTCCACCTTCCACATTATCATCTGAATCAACATCAGAATTCTCAACTGAATCATCTTCTCCACCTTCCACCTTATCATCTGAATCAACATCCGAAATCTCAACTGAATCATCTGCATCTCCACCTTCCACATTATCATCTGAATCAACATCCGAAATCTCAACTGAATCAACTGCATCTCCACCTTCCACCTTATCATCTGAATCAACATCCGAATTCTCAACTGAATCATCTACGAATCAACATCTCTCAACCTTCTCACCTTCCACGTTATCATCTGAATCAACATCCGAAATTTCAACTGAATCATCTGCCTCTCCTCCTTCCACATTATCATCTGAATCAACATCCGAATTCTCAACTGAATCATCTACATCTCATCTTCCACCTTATCATCTGAATCAACATCAGAATTCTCAACTGAATCATCTGCCTCTCCACTTTCCACATTATCATCTGAATCAACATCCGAAATCTCAACTGAATCATCTGCATCTCCACTTTCCACCTTCCATCATCTGAATCAACATCCGAAATCTCAACTGAATCATCTGCATCTCCACCTTCCACTTATCATCTGAATCAACATCCGAATTCTCAACTGAATCTTCTGCCTCTCCACCTTCCACATTATCATCTGAATCAACATCCGAATTTTCAACTGAATCATCTACATCTGCATCTTTCCACATTATCATCTGAATCATTAACATCCAAATTATCAACTGAATTATCTTCATTTTTACCATCCACATTATCGTCTGAATCAGCTCCTGAATTCTCTTCTGAATCTTTCACTAAAACTTCTGTATCTCCATCTTTCTCATTATTATCTGAATCAACTCCTGAAGTCTCTATTGCGTCTAGTACTTTATCTTCCACTGTGTCATCTGAATCTACTTCTGAATTATCTACCAAATCCGCTGCATATCTATCAACATTACTATCTGAATTTTCTACCAGCGAATCTGCATATCAGGCTTCTACATTGAGTTCTAAATCCACAATACCAACATACGAGCTTACTGGTACCGTTACACCGTTTGAATCAACATCTGAAAGCTCTACCGAATTCACTGTATTTTTATCCGGTTTATCTGAAATATCATCACGTAATGATACTAGTTTGTTTTCTTCTGTTTCTCCTTTGTCGACACAAAGTATGTCTTATTCAGCAGATATTAACATTACACATAGCACTAGTTCGGAAACATTAAAAACAAGTATTCAAACTATCACATTTAGGAGTACTGACTTAACGTCTACTGCTGAAACTGAATTTACAACGTATACAAGTTGTAAGTATTCTGAATTTCTAGGTATGATGTTTGGGTATTTACCTATCTTATGCTATTTTCCGTTAAGGTCTGTAATGTTTTTTTAATCAATTGGGATGGTCACAAAAGAGTTCTACTAATTATGTGAAATATATTGCGCCTTATTCAGTGTTTCATTTTTGTATTGAAAAGTATCAAACATTTGCATACGTACCTATTATTATAATGCGCCGGTCACTGTAAATAATATTATTTTCTGTAGCATATGATGCATGGGGCACTACTTCAATAACAGAAATATTCTCTACACCTAAACTAAGGAAATGCCGCAAGAAGGTGAGGAAACATTGTAGTAAATCGAAATATGGTTGTTGCATTGACAAAGTTACGCCAGCTAAAGGACCATTTGATAAAGGTAAGGCTGGCCTTATCTATTTGTAGTAGGACTTACTTATTTATGTTTGCTTTTAGGTTGTCCGGTGGTTACAACTTGCAATGAAACTCGCTTTGGTTGTTGCGACGATGGTGTATCAGTGGCTATGGGTAAAAATTTCGAAGGCTGTCCTGCAATCCTCTGTGCAGCAAGCTTATATGGTTGTTGCTTAGATAATCGTACAGCTGCACTTGGCAATGATTATGAAGGGTGTCCGCCAGAATGTCTTCAATCTTTGTAAGCAAATGGAGTATTTTTCCTATATTATTATATCTGTAAATTTTAGATATGGATGTTGTGAAGATAACTACACTGAGGCTAAAGGTCCCAATTGGGAAGGATGTGTGCCAACAACAACAGAAACATCCACTTCATCCCTCTCCCCTGAAACGTCTTCGATATCTACAACAATAGAGACTTCAACAATTGAATCTACATCAGAAGTAAGCAGTACAATCACAGAAACTCCCATAACGCCTACGGGGTCAACTACACTTTCGACTGTTGCTGTGTCTGTTGCAAATGTGTCATGCCAAGAGTCTCTCTATAATTGTTGTCCAGATGGTGTGAGTGCAGCAACAGGCGTTGACTATGAAGGTTGCGACATATTCAGAGACAATTGTACAGAGTCATACTTTGGGTGTTGTCCCGATGGAGTAACTTCTGGTAAGATATTTGATTGGGTTTGGATAAATGAGAAGGTATTTTTAGCCAGAGGACCTTATTATAAGGCTTGTAAAATGCCATGTGAGGAGAGTATGTTTGGTTGTTGTGAAGACGGCGTTACTCCATCTCATGGACCTTATAGGGAGGGATGTTGTTTGACAACACAGTACGGATGTTGCCCTGATAATATTAGACCTTCACAAGGACCTAATTTGGAAGGTAAGCATCCTTTAAGGGAATTGTTTGATTTTAAGTAATTGAAGGTTGCGGATGCCAATACTCTCCTTACCGCTGCTGCCCTGACAATGTCACTGCAGCGCAAGGCTACTACAATGAAGGATGTGGATGCCAATATACACGTTATGGTTGCTGCCCGGATAACTTCACAGAAGCTATAGGGGTGAATTACGAAGGCTGTTCTTGTCGCACGTTCCAATTTGGCTGTTGTCCAGATGGAGTGAGTGTCGCGCAGGGATCACAACTGCAGGGTAAACTTCTGCTTATTAAAAGAATTTATTTAACAGATGTTTCAGGTTGTGGTTGCCGCTACACAGAGTTTGGTTGCTGCTCGGATGGTCAAACACCCGCCCAAGGACAGGAACAGGAGGGTTGCGGATGTGAATCCTCTCAATATGGTTGCTGTATGGATGGGGTTTCCGAAGCCAGTGGTTCAAACTTTGAAGGTTGCAAAGAGATTCCAGTTAGTTTACAAGGTAATGGAGGAAGCAGCATTACGTAGAATTTCTACATCCATCAATTTTAGCTAGCTGCAGCTTGGAGAAAGAAAGAGGACCGTGTAGAAATTACACAGTTAAATGGTTCTTTGACATGGAGTATGGAGGTTGTTCAAGATTTTGGTATGGTGGCTGTGACGGTAATGGCAATCGATTCAAATCAAAGGAAGAGTGCAACAGTGTTTGTATCGAACCAGAAGGGAAAGGTGAAAATATGACTGTATCCATTTGGAAATGACTACAACTGTTCATTTTTCAGATAGATGCTCTTTGCCAAAGGTCTCGGGCACATGTGATGGATACTATCCCAAATGGTATTACGATGCAGCTCAGAAAACTTGCTCCCAATTTGTATATAGTGGATGTTTGGGCAATAACAATAACTTCAATACTCGAGAGGAATGTATGGATCAATGTGCTGAAGCCACTTATCTTGGTAATACCTAATATGATTTAGTGTACCCACCTATATTACTTACTAATGTCATATATGTTTTATTAAGACTCATGCGATCAAAGCGTGGAGGTAGGACCTTGTCGTGGATCATTTATTCGCTGGTATTATGACAAGAATAGTGGGTCGTGTAATCAGTTTATTTATGGAGGATGTAAGGCGAATGGCAACAATTTCCCAAGTGAATCTGCGTGCAAACAACAATGCACACAACTCGGTCAGAAAAAAGGTAAACTCGCTACAGTCATTTTGAAATTCTTGTGGGTGCTTTCTTAGGTTATCGGTATCTCTCTAGATACTAACTGATCATTAGACGCATGCTTTCACTTTCTTTAACTTAGTTTTCTATTAGATTCATGCTCTTTACCACTTGCTACTGGTAACTGCCATAGTCAAGACGCACGCTGGTACTTTAGCGAAACTGAACGACGTTGCATGCCTTTCTACTTCTCCGGTTGTGAAGGCAATCTTAATAACTTCATTAGTCAAGAAGCCTGCGAGAGTGACTGTCCGAAAGAAATTGGTGAGTACTCTTCTGGTTGCTGTTTGGTAGAAAATTTTTAAGTAGTCTATCTTTCCCAAAATCAGTCCACATTGCTTGTATTTTGTATATTTTGTGATAGAGGAATACGAATACAAATGATGCATAAAACAAGGTAAATTAACTCTGCATCAATTTAATTTTTAAGTATACATATTTGTATCAAAAACTATGCTGTTTAATTCCCTTTATTTTCAAAATTTTCTAAAATTGAGAATAGGTACTATATGTACTGGGTGACCCAATAAGACTGTTCCTCGGCCATATCTCGGGAACTGTTCGTCGTATGACTTAGGGGTAAGAAAATTATTGGGTAAATCGGTTATGAAGAATCACTGGAAAATATTTTCAAGTTCTAAAAATGACCACCAGAGTAACTGCCATCTTAAATTTTAAAATTGCATTTTCTTTATATTTCACATTTTTAAAGAGAACCAGTTTATCTATCATTTTCGTGAAAACAAAAAGTCAGTTATTTCAAAAACAAAGTTGGTGTGGGGCGTTCAATTGTTTTTGCAATAACCTGCTTTAAATTCTTAACCGTTTGACCGATTGTAACAAATTTGGTATCGTTGAAAAGAGCATTCCTTGGGCAACAAGAATATAGTTACTTTAGTTGAATCCTACTCCGCCAGGGGGTTAGTTTTGACACTATGATCCAAAGTCCTAAACAATCAAATGGAATGATATGACTTTTTCTTTATGAAAAAGTAGCCAAATAACACCCAAAGAGGTCACTGAAAACCGTTTTTCAAAATATCGTTCCTAACCTCAAATATTGGGAAAATGAGATTAATTAATTAATTAATAAAAATGCTTAAATTGTATCTTATTTAACGTTTTTCCGGTATTTGTCGATGACTCTCATTTCCTGCCAAACGATCAGGGCCGTAGTCAGATTAATTATTAAGAGCGGGCCAATAAATCTACAGAGCGGACGGGCGAAATAATTTGTGTCCGCGCAAATATCACCCGCTGAAAAAATTCGATTTTCACTTATAATTGCACAAGAGGTTTGTATTTTACCGAGTAAATTTGGGTTGTTAAGGTAATGAAAATCTGTTGCCTAGCAATTAGACGAGAAAAACTGTCAACTAATAAAAATGCGACACCGCAAAATCATCATTGTGACACCGAAATAGAAAAATGATAATTATCTATGTATGTCATATATGCCCCCACTCCCTGGATTAACAGGGAAACACACAATAAACCTTAATCATAAACTCCATCATTCATTATAAACACTTTCTTGATTAATATCGCCACTAAAAGAAGTTGACGTTCTTTTGTTCATTTTTTGAAGAAATCCAAAGGCTAAAAAGATCAAATCAGCCATTCCTTTGTGAGACATCATCGAAGACCTTTGTAGCTTTTTATTCGCGTCATTGTTGAAAATGAAGATCATTCACAGCAATCGAACAACCAAACATTGCGACTGTTGCATATAGCATGTATGCTTTTTTAAAAAGCTTCTTTTTGACCATCTTAACATTTTGAAATAAACTCGATATTAAAAACAAGTGGCCTGCAATCTTTTAAAATAAAGTATACGAGCTCAGGTAAAGGAATTATCGCACCTAACCTCATATTTTAAAAGGATTCAATTAAAAAAAGATCAGAAAGAAGTTTTTAAAGAAATTATTTGAACCTTTTTCAATCTTTACAATTTTTTTTTAATCTTTTCAATTTTTTTCAATCATTTGAATCTTTTTCTTAATATCATCCTTGGTGTGCTATAGTTTTGAAAAGAGAAGAGAATATGCTGGCTGTTTGGATTAAAATATATAGGGTGTTTCATTTAAAAAACGATATCATTTTTAATTGACCCCGTATACTTATTTTGAAAACGGTAGATTATGCAACAATCATTTGTAATAAAAGATTTCCGATAAGTTAATCAACAAAGAAATTATAAGCCATTTAAGGTCGATTCTCACTTTCGTGCAAGGCACGTACTCGGCACAGGCAAGGCACCGACTCGGCAAAATATCTATATTATTGAATCTTATGAATTTTTTGGGGTGTAATTCACACTATGCGAGCAACGACTCGGCAAGCTACGGCCTTTGCACGCAGCGTTCTTCCGAAACAATATTTGCCGGGCATGTACCGTGCACGTTCCGACAAGTGTGAATACAATCTGTGCAGGTCACCGACTTTAGTTCATTTTTCATAGTACAAGAAAGGTTGAAGGGTCAGCAAAGGAACACTTTTTCAGCGGAACAAGATGAGATGCTGATTGAATGTGTCCAAGAAAATGATTTCGGTCATAAAAGATACTTCTTATGCATTTTATGTACACAAAAACGTATTTTTCTTTTTCTGCAATATGTACTTTCTTGTTCTTCATCATCTAATATTAGACCAATTTTAATTAACGTGAAAGTTTCGAACATTTTTACAGTTGAAACTCACGTAGAAACTGCTTACCTGCGGCAAGCGTGTCGCAGTGTGAATTGAACTCAAAAAACTTTGCCCGTGCCGAGTATGTGCCGTGCCGGTTCTTTGCACGAAAGTGAGAATCGGCCTTTATTTAAAAATGGAAAAATGCGCCTTTTGCCTATAACTCAAAAAAACAACAAAAACTGTAGGCTAGTTTGGTTTCAACATCGAGTTATCTCAGAATATATATATACATCGAGACTGAAATGTTAATTTTTTCTTTCGTTTTCGAGTTACCCATACAAACAACCAAAATTGGCCACCCCGTACAGAGAAAATAATTTATACACAATCGTGAATGTAGTCCATTTAAAATTGGATATTTGACATAATTCCGAATGCACCTTTCTTTATATCTGATCATTTATGAGCATGCTATATTGCGTCATATTAAGCAATTTTCAAGAGCGGGTAAAGTTCCAACAGCTGACTGACGATTGAACCGATTTGAACCAAATTTGGTACACATATTGTTGGACGTAAAACGGCAGAATCGCGCATGCGCAGGTGTGCGGATGCATTTGTGCTAGCCACAGCAAATTTTTATGTAATACCAAGGGTAGGTAGCTCATTATATTGTACATACACTCCCAATACGATTTTCTATAATAGAAAAGTACCAAAGTTTTCAAAGAAATGCATTATGTAAACAATTTAAAAAAATGCTAATAACAGTTTCAAAAGATCCCAAGACGATTCTAAGAGTTTTACCACCAAATAAGTTGGAAAATGTAAGTTTTCAAAAATGTTGAAACAAAATTTACAAGAGATTTCAATATTTTCTAAAATTATTCACGTCATTCCGTGGTGATCTCCGATCTCACTGGAACAGGATTCCAAATTTCAAGCATAAAACACAGTATTGCAGATTGCAAAAATAATCAAATTCTCCAGAACAGAAAGAGTAATTGTTCCATTTGATACCTGTTTGTGTGGCTATTTTACATATTTTTGATTTCAATTATTGGACAAACTCTCCTCGAAATTTTCAAAAAATTATCTGAAGACCTTAGGAGTTCAAAAATGATATAAAGGCCATGTTCCAAGGACTCTTAATAATTCCACACAGAAAATACCAGCATTGTTAGTGATTTGACAAATACCTACAATCTACATTAAAGAAAAAAGATTGGAAGTAAATAGGTACAGAAGGATTTCACATTGAAACCCAAAATATAAATGTGTTTCAAAACTGTGGCAGAGTCGGCCTTTTTCAAGTATAACAACAGTAATATTATAAGTATCGTACTTTATAAAAGTAAACGAAAAACTGTTTTTTTACATAAAAAACAAAACGTGCTTTTTCTGACTTTTCTCGGCAAGCTCTCTTTTTAACGCGCCCCCTTACGTACTAACCATCCAGTGGCGTAACATTAATGGGCATTTAGCTTGTTCACAACAAAAACATTCCAGGACGATTGGATTTGTGGACAAGTGATTTGAAAAATGTAAAATTTCATTATCACTTTCTCGCACTTTTGTACAATACTTATCGCATGAAAAATGCCAAACATCTAACAGCGCTTATTTCTAGTTAAAGGTACCTGCCAGTTGCCTGCAGAAATAGGTGACTGCTCCGACTACGTGCAACGATGGTATTACGATACCACCTACAAACAGTGCCGGCTATTCTATTACGGAGGTTGTGCAGGAAATGGCAACAACTTTGAAACTGAGCAGGATTGTGAACAAAGATGTAAAACGATTCTGTTTACCCCTGCGCCTCCAACCCCACCGCCAGCTGTTCCAGTCACAATTGGAACATTCCGTCCAGGTAAGCTCAAAAATACCTTAAGCGTCTTCATTTTTAAAAAAACCTTATTTGCTTTAACGCTAACACATGGCAATGGAAGTGAGTACCTTAGCGTTATACGATCTTGACGCTAATCGCATATATATTTTCAGAATTCTGCTTCCTTGATAGTGATGTGGGTCCGTGCAGAAACTACGATCCAAGATGGTACTATGACAGAAACGATGGGTCGTGCAAGCAGTTTATGTACGGCGGATGCCCTGGCAATGGGAATAACTTCTATACTGACACTGAATGTGAAGAAAAATGTAGTGGTGTACAAGGTACCTATATATTTCTTTTTTGTTCTGCAAAATAATCGCCTTTAGGTCGGAAATTGTTCTAGAATGTTCGCATTTATATTGTGTAATGGTATACCGTACATAGTAAACAGAATACTGTTTGTTTGAAAATGTTCTAGACATACAACTCTGTTAAATTAACCCGAGTTCATCAGAATGTGAAACAATATCTAATTTTATAGATTTATGCACACTTCCACCACTTGCCGGTCCATGTGGCAGTGGTTATGAGCGTTGGTACTACAATCCGTCCATTGATGCCTGCGAAACGTTTAATTATGGGGGATGTCTGGGAAATGCTAACAAATTTTATGACAAATACGCCTGTGAAGTACGATGCCAAAAGCGACGTACTACAACCACTACAAGCACACTGGCTTCTTACGTGCCAAAACCAACCCCAGGTAAAACCTACCCCTAATTTCGGTAATGGAATTAATTACCAAAATCAATGTTTAGGTCCTTCCTCTGAATTATCAATCTGTTACGTTCCTGTTGATACTGGAAACTGTTCGGATAGCATACCGTCGTACTATTACGATCCTCGCGCGCAAAAATGTCTAGCGTTCGTGTATACAGGATGTGGTGGCAATGCGAATCGCTTTACTAGCGAAGAACAATGTGAACGGCAATGCGGTCGCTTCAGAGGGCTAGGTAATTACTTGCGCTCGGTAAATTATCATTCAACTTTTGTCGTATAGATGTGTGCAAACTTCCCCGCGATACTGGCCCTTGCCGCGGTTACCTACGTAAATTTTATTACGACGCAGTTTACGGCCACTGTGGTCAATTTGTGTACGGCGGCTGTGATGGCAATGGCAATCGTTTCAGTTCTCAGGAAGAATGCGAAAATGTGTGCGTCACACACGAAGAGCAGAAGCCCACTCTTATTAGTAACGAGACTAAGAGCAGTAAGTTTTTTAAACTTGGACAATACAAATCGTACGTACAGAGCAAGTCAACAATCAAATAGGTACATTTGTCTAGAGTCCTGTCGACTTTGGAATATTGTTTCAATGGTCAGGAATATTTAAAATTATGTGCAGTTAGTAACGACAAAGTATTGTGAGTTTTTCCTTTTTAAAGTCGAAAGAACAGCAAAAATAACATACTTGTCAGTGAATTGTGTCCATTTTCAATCCTCCGGCGCGACGTGAGTGCCAACCCAAAATAAATTCGGGAGGTGCTCGCCCATAACTTCTACCGATTCTGAAAGTAACAACTGATCAACTCAAACCCTTCAAGTTCTAAAAGGTTTTTTGTGCATTTCACATCCTGCAATAACCCTCCACCCTTAGCCTTCCGCCCGCGGTTAATTCCTATAGCCGTTATCCCTTTTGTTAGTTTTTCTTTATCAAAATTCGAAAACGGTGGTCCACGATTAGCAAATGGCAAATCAAATGCAAATGATTTTGCTGGCATTCACCCCGCACTGGATAGTTTTCGTATGAACATTTTCGAATTCGACAAAACATTTAGTTTTTTCTGATCTCAAGTGCCTTCCATTTCTTTCAAATCTTCAGATTCTTCTAAATAGAGAATTCAAAAACAAAACACGCTCAACTACGGCTGACTGCGATGCGATATGCCAAAAGCCTCCACCACCAAAAAAGGAACGATAAACGTCTGTCTTTACTATTTAAAACATCATTCCCTCTCCTAGTTTCCGCCTCTCCTCTACTTGAATTTCCATCTTCGAGTAAATTAAACACCTGGGTTCACTACGGCGAAAAACCATCTGCGATAACACGTGCTTATCTTGAAATTAATCATCTTACGTAGCGATAACTATAATATGTACATGCCTCATTTCTACAAGATTGAAAGTTTGTACAGTAATTAAGTATACCCAAAAATGAAGTATGGTAATAGTCTACCGAGCTGGAAGCGTTGCTATCACAAGTCTACCACCCACGCAAGATACATAAAAAATTATTCGATTGAACTTATTTCTACAAAGATGAAATTTTTGTTGGAAAAAGTTGATGTCATAAGAAACCAAAAAAAATGTCTTGATCTTGGTTAGTATTTCTCATTATTAACGATCCTCGAGATTGTTTATAATTTTGTATTGCTGTCTGTCTGTCCGTCTGTCTGTTCCTCTGTCCGTGTGCACGATAACACATAACTGAATAATATCATTGACCTTCGCTATTTTATGACAAAATTTAATGCTACTGTTAATAGAAAATCGTGAACAAAAGTACCAGTTTCCATGCGATTTTTTGACAAAAAAAAACCCGGTAATTTGATAACTATGCAAAAAATTTACTTAATTGAAACCTGTTGAGAAGCGAGATGTTTTAATTTTCAGTCTATGAATTTGAACGTTTTTCGTATTTAGGTTTTTGCTCAAAGTTTTCAACTTGCATGTAATATTATTTCTAGGTAATTTTTGTGGTGTTGGCATTTTAAAAATTTCCGTACATAAAGTCGAATTTGTGATTGAATTGGAGTTATCGCAAAAAATGTTTGAATGGGATGGAATACTTCTCGTTTCTTTGAACGTTTGATTGCAGTAGGTATGAGGTAGAACAGCCATCTTTTTTGTAATTTAAATCTTGAAAAAATGTATCAGTCATTTTAACTATAAAAAATAACATGGTTTAGCTTGTTTTGAGTAAGGCAAAGGAATTGAATTGATTCTCAATAACTTTCGATTGCCGCCTTTGCAAATATCACATATTAAAGCGATTTCACAAACGATTTTATATTTTAATTCTTCATCGTCTAGCCCGGCAATAACCAGAATTTCCACCATTTATTTTCCATACAGTCATTCGAGGTTTGTTTTGGATAGGAAATTTAAAATAACTAATGTTTTTAGTTTTCATTATTTTATACAAAACTCGGCAATAACTCCAATTACCAAAAATCATGTTAAGCCATGAAAATGTTCTAAAGAACAGACGGAGTGGGTGTGGGACGCTCATTAAAATGCATAGAAAACAAATATCGCGTACAGGAACTATTTTCGCCGTCGTTTATTATAAATACTTTTTCCTCAGTGAATAAATTTTACAAAAAAATTTATTGACAGTTGTGATTCATTTCGAATTGAATAACGAATAACGAATTTTTGATAAAAAAATCGGATACAACAGAATACCGAACGATCCTCGAGATCTTCACGCATCCATCATTTTTACAACGCGCCTTAAGGGGTTATGATTCTGTCCCGCCAGATCGGAATAGCTTGTAAAACAAATTGTTTCAAACGGAATTAGTTTTACTTTTATTCGAGGTGCCTAGATACAAAATTTCGCTTAAAAATCTTAACAAAAAAAAACAAGATTGCACATGCGCAAAACAATTTTTTTGATTCGGCGATAGTTTTACTTTGACTCGAGCTGATGCCTACATATTATATTTCAATTAAATAGCTTAACAAATAAAGAAAATTGGGATTGCGCAAATACAAAAGTTGGGTTGCGCATGCGCAATTTTTTTTTATTCATCTGCATAGTTACCTGGGGCTTAAGGAGCATTTACTAACACAGAAAACCGGGCATTCACATGTTCTTTGTAACAAGAATTATAAGGAAGCCCTTTTTTGGAGGTTTGAGCAGTTTTTGGGCTGTAATTTTTTTGCCCCGTTAGTCTACGTAGCTGAAAAACAATAGCGACCTTTCTTATATCCTTGAGAACATACAGCTGTTTCAATTTTCAAACCGATCGGACTTTTCTTACAAAGTTATTCAGTTATGGGTTAACGTGCACACGGACAGAGGAACAGACAGACGGACAGACAGACAGCAATACAAAATGATAAACAATCTCGAGGATCCTTAATAATGAGAAATACAACTGAAAATGAACTAATTCATATATCATTAGATAAAGAAAATAATCTTCTTTCGATTGCTGTTATTATAAACCCGCTAAGACCTAAATTATTATGGGGAGCAACGATCTGCAAAAACCTTTTACCCATGTTAATTGCCTATGTTCGTTTTTGAAACATTTTTATTTTATGGCCGTGTATATAATAATTTAGAGGCGCTTTTAGCAGAGCAGTGCAGCAGCTGAGCTCGGAAAATCGCACCTTCCAGCGTGTCTACAGAGACCTTAGCAACATCACGCAATCGGTAGACCAATTTTTTTTTGTTTCTTATGACGTCAACTTTTCCCAACAAAAATTTCATCTTTGTAGAAATAAGTTAAATCGAATCATTTTTTATGTATCTTGCGTGGGTAGTAGACTTGTGATAGCAACGCTTCCAGCTCGGTAGACTATTACCATACTTCATTTTTAGGTATAGGTACTTAATTACTGTACAAACTTTCATTCTTGTAGAAATGAGGCATGTACATATTATTCATTAACATGTTCAGAACATTGTTGCAAATTTAGGCAACAGCGCCGACGCGGTAGACTACCGATTTGTTTACTTATACCAAAGAGTAACCATAATTATGGGTACTCTTTGCTTGTACTACCAAAACAATAAAATGGCAGAATATCAGCTTTGTAGAAATGAGTGCACAAAAAATGTCACTGCCTCCTGGACTATATCTAAACATATCCAAACATCAACGTGAACACCAAATACAAATCCAATACACAAAGTTGCTGTAGTCGGCGGATTCGTTCGATTCTTAAGATTCATTTTAATCCTCGTATTCGGATTATTCGAATTTCTTCTGCATTTTCAAATTCTTTCGATTTTTCAATTGTATTGTTTACGCGAAAAAAGCGACTTTTCACACACTTCTTGGAAATTTGGCGTTTATACCCTAAGCATCATACAAGCGCAGATCCCGTACCCTTGATAAATCGCCCCCAGGTTCCGAAAGAGCACCCCTGACCGCAGCGACCATATGATGTACACTTAGGGTTAAAAGTAATGTCACAAAAATAACTCGACACACTTTACAAATATGTCAGTTTAGAAATGATCGTGATATATTGATTTTATTTGTTCAGAAATTCTAGAGAATATACTCTTGACGGTAGGTACCTTCTACTTAAGTAATGTTTGAATGAATGAATACGCTGCACATGAATTCATATTCTTCATTCATATAACAAAAATTCCAAACCGTCACCCACGTATAGCTTAACTCTAGGGTCAGCGCGATTGGGGTAGTAAATTTTTACTACCCCAAAGCGCTGATCCTAGAGTGACTCGGCGGTAAACTGTCGTCTATGGCCTCGACAAAATATTCGGATGTGACGAAATGATACAGTTTTTCAACTTATACGAAACAAGTTTAATATTTATCTAGTCATTGCGACTTGCTCTGTACATTTAAGGATGGTTTATGAATTATTAATAATAACCTTTTAATCTTTCTGTTAATAAAATGTAAATATAATTGTACATAATTGACCTCAGTCCTAACTTTGCATGTATCAATAGATTAGCAGCACTGAACCATCCATTGTACATACAAAAGCCCTGTGTTGTATCTAACATTGCATTGTTGTACGACCTTATACTTTAACATTACTTACACTAACCAGCCATATGTCGACTACCACTCGATGTCGGTCCCTGCGAAGGAGGATATTATAAGCACTATTACTTTGACGATTTTCGCGGGGAATGCGCATCCTTCATCTACAGCGGATGCGGTGGAAATTTCAACAATTTCAAAACGTTCCAAGCATGTTTAGATTTCTGTAAAGATTATCTGGTACCAACGGAACCTCGTAAGTTCGATACAAATCGCAGCTTTGAAATGCTTGTCTTGTCTGTCATAATGCTAACAGCAGCTACTAATACATTATTGTTTCTATTTGGCTTCTAATCACTCTCAATTACTGTTTTAGCGATTATACCTTACACGGAGAAGTCCACAGAACATTGTCAACAGTATATCGAAGAGTGTGGTACCTTAATATGTGAATATGGTACCGAAGCATTTGTGGATGACGCCACCACGTGCACAAAATGTAGGTGTCACGATCCATGCACTGGTGTACTGTGCAGACAAGACCAAAGGTGCGCAGTCGATTTGAATAGAAATCGAACAACTTATGATGACCCTACCTTCATAGCAGTCTGCAGAGATGGTGAGTATTTAGGTTTTTGTTTGGTCTACTACTATCTTGCTCATTTGCAGTTCAAAAGGAAGGAGATTGCCCTGTGATGAGAAGCCACGGTAAACGCTGTGAAAGGGACTGTGAAGATGACGCCGACTGCACATTAGATCTGAAATGTTGCCCGACCAATTGTGGCACCGTATGTATTGCACCTACAGTGCCGATTCCCGCTCAACTCATTACGTCATCTCCGCAACCTGCATATACCCCACCTCATACTGTCTGTAAGGATTTTTATTTACTGCATCGGAAGACGAAAATTTCATCCCTTGTCATTTCTTTTAGATTATCCGCCAGTCATTGACGAGGAAAAGTTCCAACCGCAAGTGAGTGCAGGTGAAGGTGACTTCGCTACTTTGGATTGTTCCGTACAAGGAAATCCCACTCCGCAAATCGCATGGAGGAAAGGAGACTTAATTGTAAGTGACGAACATTTCCATAGTGCCCTACTAGTAGAAATTTATTTAACCAATCAGGTTTAAACTTAGATTAGGAAAGAGTATGGATACCGCGTATGCCGTACAGCCCGTGTATGAATCGTGTTACCTTTTTAAACAAGTCCGCCATTTTATATGTGGCACATGTCATTAAAGTAACATCGTTTTTTATGAGCTTTTGCGCTTAAATTGAGCGGAAATACACAAACAACAACTTAAAATCATGGTAAAATGTGCATATTGTGGATGCAAAAGCCGGAGTGAGAAGGAGGAACCGGGAATTTCATTTCAAACGTAAATATTGAAAATGTGCCTAATGCCGGTACCACGTATTTTCCTATTTTTCCTCATAAAGCTTTTTCTTTGAATATTCTTTTTTTAATATGTTAAAATTCATAGCTTAATGAGCGACTTGACTTAATTTCTTACAACAGAACCAATCCCATGCATTCAAAATTTGATAACAAACGTCTTCAAGGATGGAATTATTCAATAAACTCCATAGGCGTAGTCATTAGCACTCCGCGTTTTTCAAAGAGAAAATTGGTACGGAAACGGCTTTACGTGAAAAATCAAACAGAAAGCAATGAAGATTCTTATTTTATCACAATCTTTAGCTGGAGGGACAGTTAGTTTTGAAGGCATTTCCGAAAAAAGATGAGAGGAAGTTTCGTTTATACCCGTGTCTGATTAATAAATAGCGCAACGCACGAATTTCATTCGTATGTTCAACTTCAACGTGATTTATTAGCTATAATAGGTGCTTCTGCCACTATTCGCATTTACGGATGCTACGACACTGGCCAATGTCAATATGTGGCAGCTGGTAACACTACCGCTAGTGAATTATGCGTCCATATTCTTTCCTTGTCTAAGGGTTTAAATATATGATTAAACCAGGTGTCAAATTCTTGACAGAATAGCTTCCTAGCTGAAACCAAAAATTGCCAACATATGTACGCTGCTTTTATTAAAGGGACTTACCATAGAAATTTCGTTTAAATTGCTTCAGAAACAAGATCAGCGTTTTGCACATATGCAACACAATTTTTTGACTTTGACCATTTTTTTCTCCGTTTTTTGATAATATAACCCGGCCCAATTTTTTGTAGGTTGTACACAGGAAGGTCTTCCAAATAATAGAATAAAAATTTTAGATTGCTATTTGAAAAAAAAAGTTCGATGCCGTTACGGCGCTCCAAAATTTTTTTTCAAAAATCCGGCCCGTTATTTTACTGTTCGGTATGCCTAAAACATATACAAAATTTCAACAAAATCCGTCGAGCCGTTTTCTCAGAAAATTGCCAACAAACGTACGTACATACAGACGGAAAAAAATTTTATTCTTTAAAAGTTGCTTAAAATGGTCTAAAACGTCGACATTTGATGAAATTTTGAAATGTTCAAAAAACGGCTATCGCAATAGCTACCTAGCACATGCTAGGAAGCTAAAAAAACCAAAAATCGTTCATTGTTAAAGAATGCTAGAAAATGGTAAAATCTGTCACTAAAGTTTCGGATAATCCCCCTTAATGTACTTTAAGGGCTTTTGAACATTTTTCTAAAATAATTGATGTCAAAAAAGAGGCGCGCGGGAAAGTTATAGCATGGAATTTAGTTATAGGCTACCTAATGCAAAAAATTCCAGCAGTTTAGGACCATTCCCTTAGAAGTAGTTCAAAACAAATCGCAAACAATAGGGATTTTTAAAAAATGCGCTAAAAAATCGGAAGGGAAGCGAAGTTGTCATCATTGTATAGTCTAGGGTGCGATGTTTTATTGTTAGGGTGCGATCTAGATGCAATCATTTCCGCCGTGAGAAGTTAGGAAAACTTATGCGCGGGAGACTAACATGGCTTCGCCCCCCCCCCCTCCCCGCATACATTTCTTGAAAACTTCTTGGGGAATGGGTGCAATAGTTTATTTCATGGGTGCGTTTGAGTGCAACATTCATGTCAATACCCAATCAGTCCACTGGTGATGACTTGGTTATCAGGTTTTCTTAAAAGAAATCCACCAATACACCAATATAGAATATCGGCCTTTAACAAAGAGGTTGTATCATTATTTTATAATAACCTACAGAAACATTTGGCTATACACATCATTTTGGTCCAAATAAAGTTTTCAATGGGGATGAAACTAGGATCTCTACCGTGCAAAATCCTTGTAAGATTTATATCCAAAGTGATCTCAAACAAATTGGCTACGTTACCAGTCCATAGAAGCGAAATCGTAACGGTGGTTTGTGCCTTTAGTGCTTCCGGTATGTACGTCCCGCCAATGTTCATCTTTAGCAGGAAATACTTACTGTATTCCTGTTCAGAAAAGGGCTGGCACCAAAGACTTTTTTAATTAATACCTTCAGCACTTTGAGACATTATTGTAAATGCAAGTGTGGAAGATCTAATATTGTTACTAATAGACAACCAACCTACACATTCGACGCTACAAGTGTTCAATCTTTGCAAATCTAAACGAATTTCAGTTTTAACTGTTCCCCCTCATACACGTCCCTTTTATAGTTACCTTCCTCCGCCACTTTATTTTCAGATATTCAAGATATTGAATCCAATTTCTAATTTCAATTTTCTCCCTTCAGCCACCTATTGATCACGAAAATGAGTCCCGAAAAACAGGTGTTGTTTATAGAAACCATTTCCTTTCGATGAGACCTTTCATTAGAATACCATAAAGGGTGGAACATCCCCCCCTTCTTCGTTTATAAGCGACAAAGTAAGAAAAAACGCTCGCTCTCCCAATTATTAACTATAAATCAAATATGCATTGCTCAGAGTATCCAATGACAACGAGTAAATGACATCTAAGATGATCTAGGATGTCACATCTTTAATTTGAGTGAAAGACGTACATTTTTGGAAATATGTGAACTGCTCGATTGTAGAAAAAATCTTGTGTGTAATTCGAGCGCAAATTGATTGTCGATTTCAAGAGATTGCCTCCTCTTTCAATCGACAATATATCATTTTGCCCTCTTAATACATAAATAGCTATATCTACAGAAGTTCAAAACTTTTTCATTATAATAAGCAGCAATAAAATTTTTAGCATTTTTATAATAGGGGATATTAGCTAAAATTCTAAGTAGATTACATCGGATGTTGATCCTAAAATACGATTTGGAAATATTTATTTGAATAATACAACAGCAAAATAAAATTCCATGCGTCCTACGTACGAAATTCAAATTACGTACTTCGATTGAATAAAAAGTACTTTGCCCTTTATAAAGTCCCTAGATTACTATACTGCATTCATTATAAGAAGGTAGTAGATGGCGCTGTGTTTGAAGATAAACACACACAGGAAAAATATAAAACAGCACCAAATTATTGTAAAGTAGAAATATTCAGCACTGTGAACAGAAATAAATCTTTGACAATAACAGCTAATGACATTTCGGCAGTTTAGTTGGCAACATAAACTACCACCTTACAAAATTCACCCAGTCGTTTAATGTTTCATTGTAACACTGACCTATGTTGTAACCAATCACAGTGAAGGTCAAAGCTTCCTTATGCTTTCTACCGCTTCCTAACAAAGATATATAAATATTTATATTATTTATATATCTACGGCCCTCTAATGACGTGAGCGACCTCCCTTTTATAATTGCTCAACTGTGTAGCATAGAATCGGACCCGATAACAATGAATACATTAGGAGATCATGGCGTTGCCGTAACGATGTGCCTTGGCTCAATAGATGTCGTCAAGAAATTTTCTTTCCACAATAACGGCCTGTAGAGTCAAAATTTTTGGTTGAAATAACATTCGTTCAAATATATAATGTTCAGACATTTGCATGAAACAAAAATTATTTAGCTAACTCCTTACACTGTTATTTAAGAAATAAGATTCTTAAAAATTAGCCATATTTATCTTCCATTTTTATCCCACACTGATAACAGAGGACTCATGGCTCAGTGGTAGAGCATTGGGTTATGAATCCGAAAGTCGGGTGTTCGAACCTGGGTTGAGGTGAATTTTTCATCTGTGGCGGAGATGGAAATTACTTTAGACCAGTTCCGAGCATTCTACCGGCTACTCCGAATTAGGTTTTCCTGCAGTTTTCCTAATTCGTAAGGTAAATATCGGAGTAGTATAGACCAACTTAAGACCTTCTGCAGAGGCACCTCTAAATAGCATTATGCGGGTCACTCTGTAATTGGGCGCATGCCTGTTGAGGGCCCAAAACAAGAGAGGGATAATAATAATAATAATAATAATAACAATTTGTTACAAAATTTACTTCATTCACAAGTTTAAACCTTTAACTACAATCGGTCGTTTACAGAAGGTCATTCTTTTACTTCGCAACAAAGTTATTGTGGAAATCGCAATGCCACTTTTGTACTAGTTTACCATACATTTGTAAAAGCCACCTTAATCAACTAACGCGCTGCCCTAGCAAGTGTTGCATTCTCCTATACAACATCCCTTGTTCCAATCACTGGATACTGAGCCCAGACCTCCAATTGTTTAGTCGCCGTTTTAAAAACTTCTTTCTTTGTTAATGTCGCACTCTGCTATTTCGCGTACCGATCTAATAAATGCGCCAAGTTACTTGCTTCGTACCATGCCGATGTGTTAACATTTACATTCTGTGCCCTGGTTTATTTGTCAATATTAAGCGTACCTACGAAGGTCGCGGGGCCAATAATGCACAATGACTAATTACAGTTCAATTAAATCAAACGTAAAACTGCGTTTTGTTCTAGATCGATGGCACTCAACCAAGGTATCGTATATTGCTGGATGGTACACTACAAATTATCACTTTACACAAGACCGACGCGGGAATATACTTGTGCGCTGCCGACAACGGAATCGGTCGTCCAATTGAAAAAGAAATCAATTTACAAGTGACAGGTTTGTGTAAAGCTGTTTATTGGGGAATGATTTAGTTTTCTTTGTACTATCATTAACAAATTTTGGATTATCTATCTATTACTAACTAACATGTAGAGGTTGTGGTGATGTAACTAAACTTGATACTAAACACACTAGACTCCGAACCGCATGCAACTGCCATAGTGGGCGACCAAGAGAATTCTCACATAGTGGCATCACTGGGAGCACCGACAACACTCCACTGCTACGCAACCGGATTTCCTTTCCCCTCTGTTACGTGGTGGAAAGATGACCGACTGGTACCTTTACATACTCATCAATTTGAAGTCCACAAAGATTACTCCCTTCTCATACATTCCGTTCAACTTTCCAATTTGGGTATATACACTTGTCAAGCATATAATGGCATTGGCAAAGCAGCTAGCTGGTCTGTAACCGTACAAACGCTGGGACCTGTGTATAGTACAAGACCAGAAGATGTAAAGTATATGCAATATGTTATAAATGCGCCGGAACGGCCCACACCAAGGCCTTTACCCCCAACTATACCCACCAAAGCGACCACACCTTCACCTACCCCGGAACCTCCAAAACACACCACTCTTAACATTTCTCTTCTGACACAACTGCCAACAGAAGAACCGCCATATGTTTACCAGGGTAAATACGCATGCTTTTTTCTTCTAGATTAGTTTGTGTAAATTTTCTTTTTAACAACTTTTGTTTTACTAACAACCACAGGCTACTTTATGTAATTTATGCTAATCGTATCTTATTGCAATAGTACCAGTGAAAGTACGCCTAACATCAACGCAAACAACATACCCCACCGGAAAGGACATCTCCATTGGTTGCGATGTGGAAGGATACCCCATACCACAGGTGCAATGGTACAAGGATGGCCAACCACTTTACCCTTCAGAGGCCATACATATTTCAGGTATTTTGAGCACATATAATTTCGTTTTAATTAAATTTTTATATTTTAGAGAATCATAGACTTTCCATACACAGAGCTAAGGAGTCTGACACGGGTGAATATCGATGTGAAGCGGCAAATGATTTTTCAAGATCATACGCTGCTACTACTATTACTGTGCAAGGTAACATCAAAAAATTTTTCAAAAACGAACTGATTCCACTGATTCTTCATCATTTTAGTCTCGCACATCGAAGCAAATTGCACTGATAATCCATTCTTCGCCAACTGTCAGCTCATCGTAAGAGCCAACTATTGCATTCACAAATACTATGCAAGATTCTGTTGTAAGTCCTGTACAGAGGCAGGACAATTACCATCAAATGGTGCCATATCCGACGACAAAGACACAGCATTAAGAAGCAATATGATAACGAAATGAAAAACCTGACTAGTCCATTGAGTAAGAGCAGTAAATTATTTAATATTTAAGTATGGCATTTACTAGTCTATCTGCACATTTAGCATTGTGTGCAGCTAGACTACCAATTTTAGTATTTCTTGTACGTGTACTATTAACAATAAGATACCTATTGCTCGTCGGCTAACTGTAGATAATAATTTTATTAAACAAATTTTATTTTTGTGCAATTTAACTTTAGGAACTTTGTACATATATCAAAATGAAAATTTGAAGCGTTTTTTGATTTGTATAAATTATGTTTGAGAGTAAAAAATAAATTACTAGAATAAATTATTTATTTCTTGTCTTTTTTATTTTTTATATCACCACTTAAACTACTTACGAGTTTGTAATTTATAAATTTGTTTGTTAAATTTTGAATCAAATCAGAGTCACATGTAGGTACCTACAGGAATGGAGAATCTTGTAGCTCGGAAACTTATTAAGGGGTAAGTGAACCATCAAATAGATAGAATAGCCTATCAATGTCTTTTTGGTAGGTATATAAGTTTGATTATAAATATAAATGCCGTGATTTCTAGACCGAATTCTCTACTTTACCAATTAATGTCCTCCCAAGTTAATTGCAACTTTATTATTTTCTTCCATTGAATTGAACTCAAATATTATATATTATACAGTTTTGTTGAGGGGGACAAATAAAGGTAGGTAACTAAATATAAATGATCGTAACCTAAGCAAGACTAAAAAAGATGCATCAGAAACAAGGTGAGATATCCGTTCTGGCAACAATTTCATATCAAAAATGTTTCAAAGCAGGGGGTGAAGGGGATATATCCCCCTCAGAAAAATTGAGTTATCATCATAGCTATTAGGTATTTAGGTAATACTCCGCCCACTTTAAAATAAAGGCAATAATATAGGTATATACACGGTGTCCATTTTTCGAGTGCCACTATGGGGATCTCGCTTACCTGAAGAGATAGAGAGTTGGTTAAATGGGGGCAAAGTTGCGAATTTTCGTGCAGAATAATAATCTGAAAAGAAATTAAAAATATCTTTAGTAGTTTTGAAAATATGAAAATGGGCACCGTGTATAGAGAGCAATTTTGGTTTTGGTTAAAGTCTAAACTCACTAAAATCTAAATATTCTGTATAGTATTCAGTATTCACTATTCAGTGAGTGATCAGTGTTGGCAGTCAACGATTTGGCTATTCGGCATCGATCGGCAATTCGCTACCAAGTAGGTATCAGGTACTTAGTACTGCTACTGAGGTGAGGTACCTGCGTCTTGCCTTTCACGAAATGACGAAAATAAGAATTTTAAATTTTAAAAACAGGAATTATACATATTTACTGCTTACTACCTACCTATTATTCAAAGTTTTCGTTGACTAATTAAAGCAAAAGCAATAAAGGGGCCTGTCAGCAGTAAGAAATAAAATACCGTTCTAATCTATAATCTTTTTCGCCTGTACAATGATAAATAGATAAATGACTACCAGCATCAGCATTCTGCAACTCAATTTCTATTTCTTACCCCCCCCCCCCCCCTTCTAGTACGCACTGGGTGACTGTATGTGCCACGAACTTGTTCAATCCCCCCCCCCCCCAGAATAAATTTCTACGTACGCCACTGTTTCAACGAAGTTTTTTATATTTTACATTTAACTTACTTTGTTAATCTTGTACTTAATTGTTATAATTCTCGGTTATAATCTAGTACTATTTAGTTACTACAGCTTATTTACGAATAAAATGGTTATTTGAATAAATATGTTTGTTGAAAAGAATGAAATGATCGTTAAAGAGTAGGGACGCAAAGATAAAGAAAGAATAAATAACATTCCTTCAACGCTCTTCACAACAGGTACCTACCTACCTATTGGTTTCATCAGATCATCATAATATAACATGGAGGACCCAACATGGCCTACTGAATTATTCGAAATGTGAATTTTAAAGAAATCATTTGCAATTTCGTACGGGGGTGTTCTCGGGGTTGTTGATTAAAAATCCGCGGCCAAAATTGCAAGATTTAAAATAGCGGATCCAATATGATGTCGGGTTATGCAAAAATTCGCAAGTTTTTCTACGTTCCAAAGCTTTGTAATTCTAAGAAAATTTAATAATTAAAAATAAATGTACAACAAACATCTTTGAAATTGTTACTATAATTTTAATTCAAAGTTTTAGGTGAAACAAGAGTCTCGAACTGTGCTCTAACTTGTACAAATAAACACATTCACAGTTTATAAAATAGGTACCTACATTAATAATTATTGTACAGTGTTCCAAAACATGATGTAAACACGGAAGGATCTAATTATTTGACTTATTTTAGGACTAAAAGTTCGTATAAACATAGGGCCGCAAACGCTTCATTACTGATCTACAGGGTGCCAAAATTTCAAGATTTTGAAGTTTTTTATATATCTCCTGCAGTTTTTGAGCTATTTCGCTTAAATTTGAACTATACGTTACGCTGAAAGACTTACATCATTGGTCGTGTCAATGTACGTAGTGAGTGAGGGTGTTGTTTTTTCAGGAGTCATATTCCATTTTCTACCCCTGAACATTTTTTTCGGTGGGCTACTGGTAAATTGTGAATTGGTTTTCTGATTTGTTTAGGAACTTTTTGGTCACTTGTAATTTTTTCGTATCTGTGACCGTTATCGAGAATAAAAAGATATTTTTGGGAAATATAATTTTTGAACTGCTGCAGTAGGCCCCGACTTTATTTAGATGATCTCTTGTCTCTATTAGTCTTGCCATTTCGCATTCGAAATTGTATCTTGTGTTTGCATATGTTTATAAGTAAAGTGTACGGTGAAACTACATACATATAAAGGTGGGTTCATAGCTCTCCGTTCATACGTTTCCGTTTGTCCGTTAACCAATCAGAAGACAGCAAATTTTTAAATCGTACGTCGTCCGTTTACGACGGAAAAGTTGGTTGAAGTTGAACATTTACGTTTCCGTTGGTCCGTTTTTAACAAGAGTGAGGTTATGTTTGGTACGTTAACAGTGTTCACCTATTCGTTCTTCAGGGTAATAATCAGATAGCAACGTGTTCTTACTTTCGTACCATTTTTCAATACTGAAAATCACGGAGGGTATAGTACAAAATAAAATTTAGGTTATGGTTATATGTTGCAAATGTACAATGTGGACGGATTGCTATGAACCTTAACAAAATGTATTATCCGTTTGACGGATCAACGCAACGGATGAACGGAGAGCTATACTTTGTTTCACTGGTGCTGAACCTGACGTCATAAATGTGATTCTCTCTTCATTACATTTAAATCGATTGAGACAAAAAAATTACGTCATTAACGTAAGTCGTGACAAACAAAACAAATTATTGATCTGTCAATAATATCAATCCGTCAAACGATTTTCGTTAAGGACAGATTTCCAGTGTGCCTTTTGATTAGGTAGTTTGTGTCAAAAGTGAAGTTGATGATATTCATCAAAGTTGAAAACGCTTAGGAAAGTCCACAGTGCAGCAAATCCGTTAACAGACAAGTATTTTAAAAATTTTACATAATGGATTCGCTCATATCATGAATTTAGGTCATTCCCGGGGTAAATAGGTAAATATGACGAACCGATACACAGAAGGTGAGCAAAGTTTGATTTTGAAGTTGATTCAGTACTTCCAAAGGGAAAAAGAAGCAGGCAAAACTTTATTACCCGTAAGCGCAGTATATGATGTAAGTGTTTCCTATGCGTTTGCTATAATTATATGCTTACTTAATCACAGAGGGTTTGTGCTGCTCTGGGTGTATCGTTGTCGACTGTAAAAAGAATTAGTACAAGAGGTGTTAAAAAAGATGACGATTACAAATCGCAAAAAAGTGTGGCTATTAGTTTATCTCACGGACCTCCGCTGCATGAAATACATGAACATGTAATAAGGACACGGATTTATGCAATGTATGCCACAGGTAAATAACATTCTTTATGTTCTAAGGGAAGATTTGCTTCAAATGAAGAGGTTCGCTAGAACACTTATTGAATTGATTTTATAGGTGAGAATGTTACACTCCGTTCTTTACACAGTAATCTTCAACGACTTGATGGCGTAGAAATATCTGCTACCTCTTTGTCCCGCAGTTTGAAGAAACTGAAATTCACGTGGCACCGTTTCTAATAGATTATTTTTAATGGAACAGCCCTATGTAGCTCAAAGAAGACTACAATTTTTGAGGGACTTTAAACACAACGAAACTTCACTCTTTCCATTACGACCTGTGGTTTTAGACGAAACCTGGATATACAGTAAAGGGTCTTTTAGAAGAAGCTGGCAAGATGGTACTCTCAAAACAGTGGTGAAGGGGTCCGGTATATAATACTCCATGCAGGATCAGAAGATGGATTTGTACCAAACGCAAGTCTAATTTTTAAATCTGGTAGCAAGTCCGGAGACTATCATGACTCCATGAATTGCCTTAACTTTGAGAAGTGGTTTGAACAACAATTGCTCCCGAACTTGGATGAACCTTCTCTTATAATTATGGACAACGCTTCTTACCATTCAGGATTGGTAGAAAAAAGTCCAAATCAATGCTGGACAAAAATGTCACTTATAGAGTGGCTAACATCACGAGACATTACATTTGCACCAACAATGATGCAAGATCAGATCTGGGAAGTAGTGAAAAATCATATACCACCAAAACTATTTAGGTAGGCATCGCTGATAATTAAATGTTTGGTTGCAGTTAGGTAGACCTTTGGATAGGAAGCAGATTGTTATGGTTTTTTTTCACTCCACGTTGATTTTTACAGATTGGACGAACTGGCATTACAACATGGTCATCGTGTTTTGAGACTTCCTCCATATCACTGCGAGTATAATCCAATCGAAATGGTATGGTCAGAATGCAAACGGCATTACGATGCAAGGATCGGTTCAATTCAGCCTGTCACACACAGTGCCGTTTTGTCTTTATGGAATGAGGCACTGCACAAAGTAACCTCTTTATATGCTGTTTTGTGAAACAGTACTTAATAACTTTAATGTTTAGGTTACACCGGAAAAATGGAAAAGATATTTTGATCATACAAGAGGCATTATAAACCAGGCCTGGGAACGGGAACAACATATTGATACATCAGACATCTTACCGGTGATTATCAACTTGGACGAATCTGATAGTGACGAAGATTATTATGATGATTACATTCATGAGGCAGAAGAGAATGAGCGTGTTTAAGAATATTATTTTGGGCCGTTTATACATATATACCTACTTGTCGTGTAGTGTCGTTTTTTCTTTTGTACATACGATTTGAATATGAACATTTGAGAGTTTTTTCAGGAATAAATATCTTCACTACCTGTTTTCTCTCACAATTGCGTTTTTTTTTTAATAAATCGGATCAGAAGATATTCAAGATCCTTATGCGAATATCTCGAGTGTGTGGCAAAAGAACAGAAACTGTATGTATGCGTTGTTATTTCAATGAGCCTGTGGTATAATGCCTACGCTTTATCTCAAATTTGTAAGATATATAAATGCGAAAGGCTTACCGATAAACCATGGCCTATTCTACTTCTGCAAAAATGGCTAGTTAAGGGTCATTAAAATTCGCGCAACTTAACGCGTATCCTTCACATTGGTAGCATACTTAATTTCACATCAACATTAGGTAAACAAAATATTTATTTACGAACTGCCTAAACAAACTTTAAGTTACAAATGTTCCTATGCGTTTTCTGTAACCATCATACACTTCATCTCAAAGAGTTTCTGATGCTCTGGCAGTATCCATTTCGACTGTCGTCGGTGCAAAGAATCGGTTACATGAGGTGATTACAAACGGTGGAAAAAGTTTAATCTCGAGTTTAATTCATACCAACGGAGTTCCTCTACATAAAATACATGACCATTTAGCCATTATAAAACCTGGGGACAGGAAAAAACCTATCAGGACCAGATGCCTTACAAGTGATTGTCAACTTGGACGGTCTGATAATAATGAACGATAGTGACACCTTAATAAATAAGTTGAAACGTCAATGTGACAATATGTAAACCAGCTACTAATTTACGACCTGCCTTAATTTTGCTATGACGTCAGATAGTGTGACGAAAGGTTCAGCACCCTTGAAACAAAGTAAACCAGCATTTACAATACACTAGGTATGTAAAGCCAGAATAACATTTATAAAAACTTCTTTTCAATTTTGTCTACCGTGCATGTTACAATTTCAAACCCCTTTGTCGGACAATGGTAAAAGTACTAAAGTAATGCCATTCGTACGAGGGTGAATAACGCGCGCAATTTACTTCCGTATAACTTCATCGTGTAAGTACACACTAACTTCGTTAATCTGCAGTTATTATTATAAGAGAGCTTAAAACGAGTGATTAGCTCTGAAAATGATCCCTGCTCATATTTGTCATCAAGTAAAATCCTTCTGGAAACTATCTACGAAGATTCGTTCCGTAATAGTATATTTCATTAGGAGTCCGGAAAGCAGGCTTTTTCCGTGCGCGCTTGGCAAATGCACGCATTAGCATTAGATAGGACTTAGACGGGTTCAGACTTAGGGACAGTGCAGAAGAAATATGAATATTAATAAATCCCTATTTACTCTATCACACGCCATCACTACATCATTGGGTTCAAACGAATAGTATATTTGAGTGTCATCGGCGTATAGGTGACATTGACAGTGTAGCAAGTTTTCTGGAATTACCGACGTATAGATTGTAAAAAGTAACGGTCCCAAAACAGATCCTTGGGGAACGCCACAATTTACCAAACTCCAAGGTGAGATTGAGCCATTACAAACGAATCTTTGAAGCCTGTTAGTCAGGTAGCTGCGGATCAAACTGATCGCGTAACAGTTAAATCCAATATAGTGTAACATTGCCAGCAACATATTGTGGTTGACCCTGTTAAAAGCTTTGGAATAGTCTAGAGTTACAAGAAGAGTTAAATATTTCTTATCCGTTGCTAATATGATGGCATCTGTTACACTCGCAAGTGCCGTCGTGCAACTATGCCGTTGTCTAAAGCCGGACTGATGTAGTGGGAGTACGTTATACTTATTCAAATATTCATTCATTTGAAACACCATGCACTTCTCCAAAACTTTTCACAGTATTGGTAACAGACTAATTGGGCGCAGATCATGCAATGAGGAGGGGGAGGGGACTTTAGGCAAAGGAATATCATTAGCTTGTTTCCAACTGGCTGGAAACAGAGATCTAGATAAACACATGTTGATGGCAAACGTAAGAAAGGGCAGTAAATAAGGCATGCATGATTTAATAAGAAATATATTCAATCCATCATGAATTCCATCGATGACCGTCTGCACCGCCAACTGCTCTAATACAGCTTTCTGGAACCGTAGAATACTCCAATCTTATCAACCGGACTATATCGACTTCGAGTTCTTGCAAAGTTCGCCCGATTCTCTCTTTAGCGATTCAGCAGCGCCTATAGTCGCTTAACCTAAGTTCCACTGAAATCTGTCGGTGCAAACGGCCATTAGGCTGTTATTGTTAGTTACAAACAAAGAAAGTTATTTAGGAAGATTTTTGCTGGTTTTAACTAGCAAAGTGTCGAATGGATTATTCCTTGAATCAAACGTTATGTGTGTTCGGAATTTTCGGAAAAAGTTTCATTAGAAGCGCAACAGTAAAATTTATTGGATAGCTTTAAAAATTAAGCAGATAGACATTTTAACGCCGGAAAGGAAATTAAAACACAATAACGTCTGTAGTTACAAAAATGCATAAATAATAGTTATTTATTATACAGGCGGGTCGCTAATAAGTCTGGAAACGGTCGATTATCGGGGAAAATATGCAAGGTACAAGTATCAAAAAACAGTTTTATAGAAAAGATTTCAGGTTCTTTAATGTCTACTAGGCAGTAGTAATTTTAATTATACAGGGTTGGTCATAAAGGCATGGCACACTAATATTGCATTTTTTTAAATGGAACACCACAATTTATAAGAAGTATAATCTACCCAAATGTAATCGTATCCGAGTTATCGAGTTTTGAAAATAGAAGGTACTGTTTTAAAATGTATTGAATAAAGAAGAAAAATTAATGACATTACGAATTTCTTTTGAAAACATACTGTGGTTCTAAAAAGAACCGTTTGTGAAGTTTGTTATGATTGTTTGGAATCATTAATTATTGTTTTTTGTTCAATTTTTAATGAGTTTTAAAATAATATCGTTTATTTTCAAAACTGGAGAACCCGGAAATGATGAGTTTAGGTACATTATGCTTATTACAAATTTTGCTTAATATTAAAGTTCTTAATAGTCATAACCAAAACGATTTTTCAATTATTTTCATTCCGATCTAGCTATCCATAAAAATGATGAAATGGTGACCATACCAAAATATTTTAAATTCAAGCTCATTTATTTGCTTTATTTTTATCATTCTCTTATGTTGGAAAGAAGTTGCAGTTTTAAAATATGTTGTAATACTGTCACGGGAGACGTGCGAGAATTTTAGATTCGAATTAATTAAACCCTTGTAAGTACCGTATCGATAGTATCCCCGACTTTTCCTGAACCTACCGATTGCAGTCGAGTACGGGACAATCATCACTTAAGGCGACACCGTGTCTTTTCTGTTTGAACGAAACGGGTAACTTCATACCCATGAACAAAACATAAGCATTTCCAATGCTAAAAAATACTCAAACCTCGTAGAAAGCTGCAGTTTTTATCATTGGAAATGCTTATGTTTTGTATGTGGGTATGAAGTTACCATTTTCGTTCAAATAGAAAAGACACGTGTCGCAGAGTGGAACAAGTGATCCCGGGTGTGTTTTACATATGGCGTTATACGGTTATCATTTTCAATGTCTCCGATGGTTGCATGGATTGCGAAATCAATAAATTTTTCTGTTTGACAGTTTTTACCAAATGGTAAAAAAAATGAAATTTGCAGCAGTGTCTTAAATGGCACGAAGTAAGAGAGAATTTGATTAACAGACGGTGTATCTACTAGGTCCGCTATTATTCGTGATTTATACGTGTACTCTCAACAGATCTCTTAAGCACACAAGTTTCATCAATATGCGGATGATAAGCAGATGCAATATAACTTTTTTGGCCACGATGTGGAAATTGCCTAAAATTTATAGTCCTCAGTGTATTTTAGGCAAAGTGTTAAAGTAGTTGTGTGAAACAGACGAGTATTATCTTTTGCGACATTGTGTACAGGTCGCCGTATTTGGATATCGTGGATATGGAGCGTATATATTTGTACAAAGGATGCAGAATTCCTGTATGCGACATGTATGTTACATTTGAATTATGTCAAAAATCGGATGATAGAGAGGACTAAAATAAACATGTTGTTGAGGAAATTGTGCGTTCGCGCATCCAGTTTTTGAACATTTTCGCACTACCCACACGTAATTTCTTATTGGTTAAATTTCGAATTTACTGTAACGTGTCTGTGTGAGAAAGGTAAACTTATCTGCAGATTCTCATGATTGTGGTATTTCCCTAATTATTTCTCAAAGTTCAGAACTAGTTGCGCATACTGATACTGATTTAGTCATACTGTGTCAATGGCGTTCGCGAGCTTCTCGAGATATGTTTCATATTAACGTTCCACCGACATAGTTGTCATGAAACTCAAAAAGTTGTCATCCGAAGTTCTCTCGTTTGACGGCGAACATAACTTTGATGTTCGCGGGGCTTTTTTTACAACCTACGTATCTCACAGGAAGCGTATTTAAACGGGAGCTTTAGACTCGTGTCTTTCTCCTTATACTGGAATTTTTACGAAGTTTGTAGGGATGGTTTTCAACTTGTACCGGTAATTCGAACTTATTGCTAATACTGGAATACTGGTGTCGGCGGTATACTTAACGATTTTGTTTGCTGCATGAAATGAATTAATACCCCAATTTATATCTTTGACGTACACTTGTCGAGCCCTGTATACTGTTTAATTTTCCATGTTAGTATAAATTTTACTCCTTTGTAAATTGGCTCATTTATTTTATCGAACCGCATATGGCTGCTTTCAATTGAACTATAAGCGTGGGCGTGTTGAGTGATGGTGTATATTCATAAACTGCGAGAGCAAGGGATTTCAATTAGTCTGCACTGCTTATAAATTTCCACCAGTTTTTATATCTTTAAGGTATTTCTTTTCATCAATTTTATCACCGAGACGTAGAAATTAAATCAGGACCGTCACTATTTTTGCGAAATAAACCAGTGTCCAATAATTTCCAAACTGTCGCATGCAGTGTAATTGTGAGGAGCACTCTAAATTTATGTGTAAGTATGTACCTACTACAGGTCTGCTTACGAATACCTGTCTTTGAAGCAACTCCATATGCTGCAATAATTCTATTATATTTGAGAACAGTTACCAATACAAGAACGTTCCCGCATTGAAATAGGTAATTTTATTACAGGAATTAAATATGAAAATCGTTCGACGTCAAACAACGATAACTTAGATGCGATGCGCTTGTAATTTGTTAAAAGATTCCAAAGCATCACTGATTTATATAAATGTAATTTTTTATTTTCTCGATTTCTACGGGTTCTACGAAATGGAAAATTATAACTAATAGTATGAACAGATGCAGTATTTTTTTCTCTAAAAGAAACGTATTTAGACTTTTGCTCTAAAATAATTTGGGGAGCTAGTAATTGACTATAAAGAAATTACCATTGAAATCCCTATGCTGCGTTCGCGTTGCGCTAGGCACCACCCTGTATAAGACTAAGTTTATAGCTGAGGAAATATTGGGACAAGAATATCACAATTTTGTCCTAATTGAGTTAATACAAGGACGCTACTATTGTAACAAATGAATGGATAACATTATTAGGAGATTAGGGAAAGTGGAATAGCCTCGAGAATAGCTAACCAATAAAAATTCATATCTCGCGGATGTTTTGATTTTAGTTGAAGATGGCATACCAGTGGCGGCTCATGAAGTATGTAGTTGGCGAGGCCGGGCATGGTAAAGGCGAAAGGGGGGGGGGGTCTCCCAAAAAATTGGTTTAGCTGGATTTTTGAAAATTTCTTATTCCAAAAAAATAAAAAAGTACTGCTTTTTCTTATATTTTAACGGGCGTACCTATAAAATAGACATTGAAAGTAAAAAAAAGTAGGTACCTAGTACCACTTAAAAATAAAGGCAAAAAAAAAAAAATAGTTAGTAATTACCTACTTGTATTTGATACACGGTACAATGTGCCTTTTCTCTGATGAACACTGTTTAATATTCATCAAACAAGAATTTAGTTTTGCGTAAATACGACCTAGAATAGTTGCATTACAACAATTGGCAAGTAAGCAGTTAAGCAAGAGTAACAATAAATTATTATCGTAAGTTTTATGTAGATCAATTAGGAAATGGGTTATAGGAAATTGTATACTATTAATAACGTTGTCATCAAAATATGTAGAGTAGGTAATTGCAATGTGCACAATCCTTCTGTATATAAACTAGCGAAGTGTCTTAAAATGTCTTTAACTGGATAATGGCATGACTTTTTTCGAGGGGATAGTTTGTAGTTATACCACCATTTGTAGGTATGTAAGTATGGATAATAAGACAATAATCAAATTTTTCTAGACCTAATGCTTATATAAAATTTTGGAGGGAGTTGTAATGCCCAAACCCCCCTCTCATGAGTGCGTCCCTGATTTTTTTAAACATCTGATGTAATTATTTTCATTGTTTTGTTTCCTCGAATAGATTTTGTTTTGTTTTTTTTAATTCATCACAGCCTACTTAATTAAAATATAAAAACCGTTAATATAACTGGTATCTTATTTTCAATCTTATGTTATAATAGCTCGTTGAAAAGATAATTTAAAAATCTATCAAATAATCTAAAAATCCAATATGGCGCCCATTTAACTTTAGGAAGTTGGTAAATGTTCCTCAAAAGTAGCCATCTTGAATTTTTTTTTGACACCAATTCTAAATTAAACGTATCAAAGACAGTAACTTTTATATAAAACTTTTTTTTATATCTCTTATACTTTCGATGATATAAGACATTCAAGGAAATAACCAATTTTAGTTTTTTTGAATTTACGTCGAACCTATGCGACATTTTGAATTTCCAAAAGGAAATTTTAAATAAGCATCTAAAACTGCAAAACATTGCCCATTTAACAAATTCTCTATCCTTAATAATAACAAAGTTACCCATGCAATCCCACCCGATCTGGGACACACTGTATACGCGCGACCCCCTTGAGGGTCGCGAACCCCAGGTTGAAAATCGCTGGTCTAGATGAGACACATCTACCGGTGATGTAAAAGATTAATTGTGAATATTTCGAAAATGTTGCAGGAAGGTACTTACAAAGGGAAAATGCAATATTTCGGAGAATTTCTCTTAGGGGCTTAATTCTTCTTCCATTCTATTATACTCGATTATATAGCGTAGATTATGAATGTATGCCAGGCAGCCTTTAAATGTTTATGTATAAAGAGTCCCCTTCCCATTAATCATCTACGAAGAAAGTAAACATCGTTAAATATAGCATGCTACTACCTTATATCCCAACAAATTACGAAGCTATTTCGATTTTTAAAAAGCGCGTTTTATCTGCACGTGAGTACAATTTATTCTTGTACCTATTACTTTTCGAGCGTCGGTCCGTGTAAGCAATTACTCTTTTTAGCAGCGACCGATTGTTAGAAATTTGGACTACGGTTTCTTTATAGTTTAGGAAAGAACGCTATTGATTTTCATGTCCCCATCAATAGGGACAAATGTTACAGGGATTATTGTGGATTGCGATTGGGAACGGTAAAAATATAAAGCCGGCCTCATACAAATAGACACAACTTTCTTATTTATGGAGCGATTTGTTGAAATTCCCCTTCCGCTACTCATTCGATTCTACTTTCTTCCTTTATTTTCAATGGTCAATCCGGGTCCGAACTTCGGGTCCAAATTTCCGAACCCCATCCTTATTCAGCGCACCCATTATGGCGCACCGCTTCACCGAATGGAGCCGAACACCTACAAACTCACGACCTTTACCTATCTATGCCATAGTTTACGTTTCCAAATTCGATTAAGCGCGCTCTCCTGAATTAGATGGGGATTCGGAACTCAAATAACCTGAGTCGTCATTTGGTAACGTGACCTATTTTTCTTGGGATTGTGCACGGAGTATCTATGTATCATACCATACGCGAATAAGATGAAAAGTCTTAATATAAGTTGTTCATCAAATATTAATTATTGTGGACAATCAGTATGTAAAACAAATATGAACAAAATCAGTACGGATTAGTGTTATAGAAGTTAACAGGCAAATCTTTTTAAATGAAATTAATGTTCAGATATTGAATACTATTCTGATCTCCAATGTACCTACTCATTTGAGGATTAATCACACAATTTTTAAACTAAATTCCTGGATCTGCTCTCGGAATCAAGTACCAGACCCCAACCAAGTTCAGCACAGCACTCTGAATTGAGTTGGGAAACACGAAATAATGGGTTCGGCTCTATTCGGTAAAGCGGTGTGCTGAATAAGGCTGTACGAGGGCAAGGTGAAAAGTTCTCGGCCTGACAATGAAGGACTGTGATCTTCAGTTAAAAAAAAATTTATTTTTCTGCCTTTTTCAAGGTAATTAATTAACAGAATCCCTTTGGTATCCCAAAACACACTGGCCATGACTTTTCCCGCAGGTGCAATCGACTTGGCTTTCTTTGGCGCTGAACCACCGGCTTTCACCCACTGCTTCGACTGCTGTTGGCTTTCTGGCGTGTAGTGGTGGACTCATGTCTCATCCATAGTAACAAATCGTCGCATTCTTTTTAAATCGCTCCAAACATTGCTGCGAATGTCGGTTGCGCAACTGCTTTTGATCCGCATTCAGCAAATGCGGCACCCACCTTTCACAGAGCTTTCTTATCCCTAATTCTTGGTGCGAGATGTTCCGCACTCTTTCTTCCGATATTGCCCACGACCTCAGCTATCTCACACACCTTTACTCGCCTACGATATTTTGCACCTTTTCAATAGTTTCCGGGGTGTTTGCAGTTTTTGGCCGTCCTTCACGTGGGTCATCTTCAAGCGACGTGCGATCACGTTTAAGTTCAGCTGCCTACTTTTTGACGGTTAACAGGGGAGGAGCAGAGTTCCCATAAACTTTTGTCAACTTTGGATGAATTTGCGTAAACGAAGAATGTTATGACCGCGCGATATTCTAGTTTATCCATTTTAACAAATCAAAGACTCGTTTACACACACTACTTGAGCGAACAAGTTGAAACTTGTCATACGA